ATGAGTCTTCCCAGACTCCTAACTTCTCACTTCATCCATTCTCTGTTAGATCGTAGCAACTCTTAGACTTGGACTTATCAAGATGTACTTGACAACAAGAGCAGACTTGTGGAATATTAAAATGTGTAGACACAAATGTAAAAAAAAAAAAAAAAAAAAAAAAAAAAAAAAGATGTGTAAAATTTAGAATAACTCATGCTCAAGCAAATGTGTGTCTCTCATTGATATCAGTAATGCTGTTCCTTTTGACCTGAGCACTTACCCAGTGATCGGAGCCACAGAAATTGATTCCAATTAGAGGAAACAGTAATATTTATGTATATCTTTGTTGTGTTTATTTAACAAGAAGTTACCCGCCCTGGAGACAACAGAAATTAAGCAGTAGGAACAATTTGCTCTCCAATACTAGCTCTTCTTCAGACAGGTCTCTACCCTGAAGAATTGATCTTAGCTTCTCCTTTGGACTATGCTACAAGTGCAGCTTTAAATCTGGACTCCCAATTTAACTGCTCCCAGCCACCCACCACTTCTATTGGCAGTGCCTGTGACAGACAGAGCTAAACAGAACATGCATCCTCACCTTGGCAGCCTGGCTCATTAAAGTACACTGAAATCAGAGCTGTTTACAGTGCTCAACTACAATTTGTGGCAGCAACAGAGGAGATTTATGTTCCTGCTCAGCAGAATCTGAAGGTGGTGCCTTGCTCAGAAGAGTGAGGCTGAGAAAAGCAACATTTCCAGCCGCACCCAGAGGATCTGTCTGCAACTACTGACGGCACTTCTTTGTTGCCTACTTGGATCCTTGGTGTTTTCCCCGCTACTCTTGTAACTTTCCTGACCCTGTGCTAGCTGGAAGGAAACCAGAACTATATGGTGTAGATGATAGTAACAATACTTGTTTAGGACTCTTCACTCACCTAGTTTTGACCTTATTTCAGTTGTCAGCAAAGCAAGAGAGATTTGCGTTTCCTGGATGTGTGAAGATGAGAAGACAGCTTCGGTGATGTTATCAGATTGTCCAGGCAATGGCAAAATACCCCCCATCACTTCTATCCATTGTCTCAAGAGTCCAGAAATGGTATAATCCTGAGAGTTAAAAAAAAAAAGAAAAAAAAAAAAAAAGTTTTAAAAACCAAATTATTTGAATGGAGTTTTCTCCACATTACCAAATTCCAAACCACACTGTAACTTTTCTGCTTCATCTCAGTTTCTGTCTGATCACCTAAGAGGACACTTCCCAGTGATTCTCCAAGGAATTATTGGTTTTGTAAAATCTCTTTAGTGGTGTATTGCTTACCAAGCCTGCATAATAGGCAACTCCTTTTTCACTGTATCTAAACAGAAAATAAATAAATAAATAAATAAATAAAAATACTGGGTGTTTCTTCCTGTGTCTTTCACAATACTTTAATTTCAAAATCATTTTTTTTTCCAGAGTGAGCAGCAGAAAAATAGACTGAATCTATTGAACCTTGGCTGCATCTACTTATGAAGTACTGGGATACACTCTTCGGGAAAACTTAGGAATGGTGGTTGTAAAGGACTTCTGGAAGTCTCTAGTCCCCTGTCCCACTCAAAGTAAGACCCCTGCCAACATCAGATCAAGCCCTGGGCTGCACTAGGAAGAACACTGCCAGCTGGACAAGATAGGCAACCCTTCCTCTTTCCTTAGCACTTTTGAGATTCACCTGCAGTCCTGTTCTGGGCTCCCCACTAGAAGTGAGACATGGGCGTATTGGGTTGACTTCAGCCCTGGGCCATGAAGACAATTAAGGGACTGGAGCATCTGGCATATGCTCCAGGAGCAGGGAGCTGGGACTATTCAGACAGGAGAAAAGAAGGCTCTAGTGCACTTTTAACAATACATATAAGTACTGAGGAGGGAGGGGACTGAAGATGATAGAGCTAGACTCTTCTCAGTTGTGCCCAAGCAAAGGACTAGAAGCAATGGGCACAAACTGAAATACAGGAAGTTCCATTTAAACATAAGAAAAAGCTTATTTACTCTGACAGTGGTCAAATATTTGAGTAAGTTGCCCAGAGAGGTTGTGGAGCCTCAGTCTTCGGAGATATTCAAAAAACAACCAACAAAGCCCTGAGTGAGATGCTCAGGTTAACACTGATTTGGGCTGGAGAGTGAAGGCAGTGGATGAGATGATCGCTGAGGTCCCCTCCAGCCGTAATGATTCAGTGGCTCTGTGAAGCCAGCTATCACTCTGCATAGCAAGATTTTGAAAATTTCCACAATTCCACAATCCTTCTGGATTTTCACTATTCCTATGGTGAATAATTTTTTCCTAATATTAATATTAATATCAATATTCAAGCTGCAATGTATGGTCCCAGACAGTTGTTATACTCCCTGGTGGTACCAACAAGAGTTGGACTTGATGATCCTTAAGGGTCCCTTCCAACTCAGGATATTCTATGATTCTATGATTCTATGATTCATCACCCTTACTCTCCTCCTCCTAAGTGTTTGAGGGCTCTTACTACACCTCCCCTCACCCCACCCCTCACTTGACTAAACACGTCTAGTTCCCCCGGGTCTCTCCTCAAAGACCATGTGCCGTCAGTCCCTCACCACCTTAGTAACCCTCCCCAGTGCCATCCTGGAAACCCAGCCATTGTTTCAACGATTTAACCACTTGCACTTGGTTAAATTACAGGGAAAGGTTTTCACCCTTCTACGCCATTTCCCCCTATGCAGCATCATTTCTGAGTCACCCAAGGGCACGCTAGAGTCATCGTGCTGACAGTAATAGTTATACTTAGCTTAGTCAACAAGTTCAGAGCAAGACTAAGCGTTAGTATGATTATACATAGGCCTGTGTGTTACTGGAAGCCGGCACCACTTTTCCAACCATTTGGCAAGTCGTTCTGAGAGCTTCTAGTCTAAAGAGCAGTTGCATATGCAGAGGATTTGCCCTGACCACAGATTTCTCCCTGTATAAACGGTGTATAAACATATAAAATGTTCTCCATATTAACCACTGCTAGACAATCCTGCCAATGATGCAGTCATTGTTTTTCCTTCAGGAAATGCAATCTGCCATTCGCTCATGTCAACATCATCCACAGACCCTGTTCATAATGAAGAAAAATAAAACTAAACACAGAGTGGCTAGTACAGAGCCACCAGAGTGTTTTTCACCTCCAGAAATACCCTCTCACACTTTAGCAACCACCGAAGCGTCACTGTTTCTCACCCAGCTCATGCAAGTTAAGGAATACTGACGCTCCTTCTACGTGTTTAGAGCTAGCCAAACCTGTACAGGTCTAATTGCCTTTCTGTCAGTAAAATCTCCCGTGTTCTGCATGTGCCAAGAAATAATACATCATTTTGAATCAACTCCCAATTCCTGTGGGGTTTTCAACCTCACAACTCTTACACAACTCTTGCATACTATCTGCCCAAAGCTGTCAGCACGCAGAGGTATCGTTTGGATGTAACAGTCTGCCGTGCAGTTTGCTTTCTAGTAACACCTCTAATACAGGTGGTACTTTGCATACCTGAAAGTAATGCCTTAGAGTAGGCATGAAAGCAAAGTTTTCCCTGGCATTTAATGTACTTCCACTTTGTCAGCACCCACATGAAATGAGCTTTCCATTTTTACTCACAGATAGGCACCTTACCGAGCTCAGGATGCAGACTACAGTGGTTGCCTGGCCAGAGATACTGGGAGTGCCTGGGCAGAGCAGCTTACTAGGCACTTAGTTAATGGCATGGTTCATTTTGGCTGGCTTTTTGTCCCATCTTCTGAGAGTGCTTATTTGGGAGCTTACCTCTTGCGCGTTTTATGAAAACACTTAGGATATCCAGATGCTAAAATATCTCTTGAGCTACCTTTTGGTTTATAAGTGTAATCCCCATAAAACTTACACCACTGACTTCTCACGAGAAGCCGGAGTCACTTCTGAGTTCACTGGAAACAAGACGAAGCTTTCAGCCCCCCAGCCCGTTTCTCCTGCACCCGGCTGCTGCCCGCGCCCGCCCCCGTGCTCCCACCGCTAGATGTCACCCTGCTGATGCTGTTCACTGTTATGCTGGGAGCTAAAACTACCCAAAAACCGGCCGTGAAAAAAAAAAAAAAAAAAAAAAAAAAAAAAGAGCCGAGAAAGCCGAGAAGAAAATCAAACGGCACTTTTAGAAAGTGAGAGCACATGAAAATGAGCGTCCGTGGCAAAAAAAAAAAAAAAAAACAGAAGTAACTAATGGAAAGCACGTGGAAAATAACCATCATACAAAGCACAAATAACAAATACTCCACTGAAAGCAACTACAAAGACAAATCAGAAGTTAAGGTTTTGCTTTAACACAGGAGAGGCGATTTTTCTGTCTCCTCTTCCCTGCCAGATGCAGCACGCAGCTGGAGACTGTGTCCATTTAACACAGGAGCAGGAGAAACAAAAATACATTCCCGAGATAAAACAAGGAGTTGGAATTTGGCATCGCTGCTGCGAAGCCATCCTGAGCAAGAGGCGATGAGCTCTGCCAGAAGAAATGAAAACATTTCTGGGGCAGACTGGCCACGTTTCTGAGACGTCAGAAAGCCACCAAGTGTTGAAATATCCTCGAGCACGGAGCTTTCGCGAGGCAATGAGCCCACGCTGCCCTGTGACAAAACCGCCTTGTCAGAGCCGTCAGCACAGGAAAAAAAAAAAAGGTACGAGACGGTGGTACGTGAAGAATAAATGTATTTATTTTCTTTTTAAAGTGAGGCTTGCTCGCGTTAGCCCTTTGTCTGGCTGGGGGAGCAGCAGGGCAGGGAGAAGGGGTGAGGAGAAGGTTCCCGCTCAGGGGTGTGAGGGGCGGCGAGCGGTGCCTTTGCTCCCTTCCCTCTCTCTCCTTCCTCCTCCCGCAGGTGAAGGCGCCCTTTGTCCAGGCGAGGCCCCAGCGGGCTCCGCGGGCCGGGCCGGGCCAGGCGGGCAGCCCTGAGGCGAGCTCCGACCCTGAGGCGAGCCGCGGCGCTCAGGTGCCCGCCGGGCCGGGGGGAGCGCGATGGGCGCGGAAGGCGGGGCCGGGCGGGGAGGGGAGGGGAGATGGAGCCGGCGGCCGGGCCCCCCCTTCCCCCGCCGCTCCCCTCAGCTCCTGCCGGCCGCTGCGGGGCTGACCTGAGGCCGCCCGCCCCGGCGCGGCCGCGCAGGGCTCTCCCCGTCCTAACCCAGCCGAGCCGAGCCGAGCCGAGCCGAGCCGGGGCTCCTGGGGAAGCCCCGCGCCGCCGCCCGGGCACAAGAAGGCGCCGCTGCCGGCGGGCTGAGGTGGGTGAGCCCCGGGGCGGCGGGCGGGCTGCGGCCGGGGTCTGGCGCCCTGCTCCGCTCCGCTCCGCTTCGCCCCGGGACGGGACGGGACGGGACGGGACGAGCTCACCTGGGCCGGCCCTGGCAGCGCTGCTGGCGGGGCCCCGAGCCGGGCTCGCCCCCCACCCTACGCGGCTTGGCCGAGGAGGGCACGGAGCGGGGCTCGCCGGCCCCGGTCCCCGCAGGGGTCTCCACAGAGCTCGGGCGGGTTCCCGACGAGCCGGGACAGCAGGGTGAGGGGTGGGTGGCCAGCTCGGCTCTCTCGGGTGCCTCCACAGCACCTTAAAATTGAGGCGATTGCCCCAAACGCTTTCACCCAAGTCGTTCTTCGATGGTGCCAGAGGAGCGGGGATGCTGCCACCGTCCCGCGCCTGCTCCATCACCTCAGCGTTGTGATCTTAGCCTGTTTATTTTAGCCATTTTTTCTTTATTCAGTGAGCCAGCTCTGAAAACCCTTACTCAGGCAAGCCTCCCATTGACTTCGGAAGACGTTTTGGCAGAGTCAGGTCTGCCCGGTTTGGATCGCTGTCGGCTCAGCGCTGTAATGAGCCTGTTTGCTTCTCCCAAACTGCGCTACACCCAGCGCTGGAAACTTGGCCTTCCGCAGCTGGAGATCCTCCATCCTCACTCGCAGCCAGCTGTGCTGCTGCCTTCTGGAGAGGGAGGCATGGGTGCGGAGGATGGATGGACGTGCCTGGGTTCTGTCTCTCACGGGACTTTCTTCAGACATATTGCAGACAGAGGCATGCTGTAAAGGACTCTGTTATGATAATTCTCCAGGCACTGTATAACAGAATTACAAGTGCCTTGTATGTAGGCTATTACTGTGCTTTGTTATCAGCTGTATCAAAGAAATAACTCTTATCTCAGATATCAGAGTTATCTGGTTTGGCACCTACTCTTCCTTGCATGCAGTCGCAGGGCTGTAACCCATATTTCACTATTAGAGCATATGCATTCATTCACACACAACTTCTTTTATTTATTTATTTTTTTTCCTGCCACATAAAGCATTAGGAGTGTATTAAACATTGTTTCCCCAAATCAGCTTTTAGGATCAGTAAGTGACATCCCAGCTCATGATTTTTTTCACATCACTATACTACTGCCAAATCATCAACCCAAGCCTCTAATTAGAAGCTATTACTGGACTCTTCATTTCTAAATTAAGACTGATATTAGCATAAGCGTCAGGTGAGTTAAGCATTTCCATTCAGAGCTCCTCAATCAAAAATATGCTTTCGGACCTCCAAGATAGTGTGGCAGCCAGAAGAGGACAATTCAGAAGAGTCAGGGATCACTGTGTAAGCTCCTGTAGGCTGGTGATGTTAACATATGAAAGCTCAATTGAGGTAGGTAAAGAAAAAAATAAAATAAGAGCAAAGATATGTGAACCATCATCTGTTTTACCAATTTTAAAAAGTTGATCTCGTTATCCAAAAAAAAGTAAAAAGTCAATCTAAGACTTCTTCACATCCTTTTTTTTTTTTTTTTATTTCCACACGCACACTTCAAACTTTAAAAATCAGAAGGTAGGCCTCAAAAACTGTGTGATTGCCCTTGATATTCTGAGTTCTTTTAAAAATAGGTCTGGAAATCACTTTGTTCCTTTTTTTCCAAGTAAGTACGTTAGACCAAGGTCTGTTTGTAAACAATTCTTTGTCATTGTAGCAGCTAGAAATACAATATATCAAAACATAGAATTTGTAACTAATTCTGAGAGTGGCAGAGCTGAAGTTTTATGAGGATAGCATGAAACACTGGGTCTAGCCCTAGCAAAAAAAAAAAAAAAAAAGCCTTCAGCAGTAGGATATACAAGCAGCTAATGGTATAGGAAAGGGTTAATAGCCTGACCTTCAGAGGGAAGCTCTTATTGACCCTACTCTGCAACACTTGGCCAAAAGGTTATGCCCAAAGGGAGAGCTTGTTAGCAGGAGGGGAAAAAAGTCAAAAGAGAAATACTTAGGAAAAGAATACTTAGGCTTCAGTAGGCTGGTGGCTTGAAGCAAATGTTTGTACTAGATAGCACAAGACAGTGTGGATTCATCCACTGAAGCACAACAAAAATAGGTACAACTGATACAATTTCACAAAAGTTTTACAGATATAAAAGAATCTGTATTTAGCAAAGTAGTTTCATGTCTAGTAATCCAGCTGCTTGGTAGGTTCCTGGAGGAGCTAACTAGTCACAGCCGTACAGGTGGTCACAGAACTACGCTGCGGCAGGGCAGCCTGACCTTCCAGTGCCTTGGCACTAGCACATCGCTTCAAGCAGTGTGTAACAGGGCACTGTGCCTATCAGAAGTCCACCTTGCAGGGTAACCCCCTGCAGTTATTTTACAGCCCTCTCAAGACTTCAGGGTTAGGATCCTGAGAAAGAAATATCCCTTCTCTTCATCTTTGTTTTCTGGCCTCTGATTTCTTCTAGTCCTTAACAGCTAAGAACCATTTTTGCTTCCTCTTGTATTGATAAATATAGACAGTGTACCTTGGAATAGAATGAGCAAATCTCCAACTGGAGTTTCCTGACAGTCTTGAGGGGAGAATACACCTCTAAAGCCACAAGATGACTGTCAGGTAGACCAAGCCTGAAAATCTGAATTGTAAAACCTAAAAAGTATTAGGAACTGCAGATTTGCATGGGTTTCTTATATAAGTAAGTCCAGTCTCTTGCTAGGATAGACACAGGATAGACACATTAAAGCTTTTTGTAAACCTAACAAAAATCCATCTTCATAACATTTTACCTGTTTTTCCTTTTCAAAAACTGTTTCAAACTCTGTTGTTCTATTTTTAAAACTTTCAGCCTGATTTAAGTCCTTCATTCCAGTAGCAACATGGGCATTTAGCTTAAATATTGCTTTTCATAGGTGATTTTGTTCTGTTGATTTATCTGCTGTCTTAGTCTCCACTTTAATTTTAATAACTAAAAAAAAAAGAAAAACTGAGCTCTTCTGTTCTCAGAGGACAGACTTTCTTTTCCCTAGATTATCACAGCTTCTCTGGCAAATGGGTGGAGGAGGGGGAAGAAAACATTTTGAGGGAAAATAGGCCTCAAAGTTTCAGTAGGGCATTTCAAAACCTGTTTTACATCCTGTGTTTGTTTTGCAGGGAGTTTCTGCAATGGAGAAGAGGGAAGGCGATAGTCATACCATTGATCAGAATGCAGGTCAGAGCATCGCGCCGAGGAGAAACAGAGGAAACCTTAGCAACTTGGTAATGTTTCTGTAAAAGAGCAGCTCATACGTCACACAGAATATTGCAGACTTTATTTGATTTTGTCCAAACGCACTGTGTTTCCATAACACTGGCATATCATCAATGCTTCTGAAGTCTTCTCTCAATATTGACATGGAGAGATAAAAAGATAAGGAGCAACTCATTCAATTTAATCGCATTCCATGCTAAAAAAAAAAATACACAAGATTTGTTAAGAAAAAAACACATAGTAACAGTTATATGATGTTAATTTTTAGTTGCATTCTACCAGCTGAACAAAACTCTATAGAAATAATTTGTGATTTTTGAACAGGAATGTAAAGCTTATCCTGGGTAGAGTCTTTATTGTTGCCACATTGCATTTAGTAAGTTTTGCACACCACACAAAAAAGCCCGGGAAAAAATCCATTTCATCAGTTTTTGCCTCTGCAACATCTGATGCACAGAAGTTCAAGCCACAACTTGCTGTTCAGTTGTGACCTCAGTCTGTGGAATACTGCATTAGGCTTTACAAACTGTCTCAAACAGGAATCTTTAGGTGAAACTGAATTCAGAGGTGAATTTCAGTTTATGTAATTTATACTCATACCTGATTCTGCAATGCATAAAGACTACACTCTGCTTCTCCTCACAGACTAGAGAACAGAAGTTACTTAGGCTATACCTTCACTGGTACATTGCAGATACATTTTTATTAACACATCAGCATGTATTAGCTATTTAACTATAAAATCCCAATAAAGACCATGCCCTTTAATTTTACTGTGAGGCACTGCAAGCAAGTCAGTCACACATGTGGAAACAGGCTGCCTTTGTCTCCATTTAGGATTTTATGGCAAGATAGCAGTGTATGTTTGTTATTTCTCTGTTAAAAGAAAGCAAAGCACGCAAAACACCTGTGTATTACTGAAGCTAAATACAAGGCTTACACCTGCTTATGCTTGCATTACTTACAAGTATTTACAAGAATTGACCCCTTAACCAGCTTCAATATAATGTTTGATTCTGAAGAATAAAGACAGATCATATTGCTGAAATAACCAGTTCTATCCTAGCAGATTTGATCATCTTGAAGGTATTTTCCAACCTTGCTGATTATATGGTTCTGTGACTGCCAACTTACAGCTTTCTACTAGTACTTGTCTTCCTCAAGCCTCAAAGTGCAATGTCACTTTCTGGAGATCTGGACACCTGCAACTTTAGCCATTCTAAAGCTGAGCCATTGCTGCATTAGTTCAGATTTACTTTGCATTTCACTGGATTATTAAAGGGGTGGCATGTTAATTTCTGAATGTTTCAAATTCTTAGCTCCCCACCCCTGGACAGCTGTCTGCTGCATCAACTGCAATGTCCTGCTGTTGGTGCACATATTTTCATTTTGTACTTATGTTGATCATGTACCTTGTCCCCAAACTGTAAGTTTGGGACAATCTTTTAATACATTATCACAATGTAAAACAGTTTATAACATTATACTAACATTTTGTCCTAGCATAGTTTCTTCTTAAGCCTGTGATAATTCTGCCAAAAGCTTCTGTGAGACTAGAATCAAACCATGACTATTTGGCAGTAAAAATTCAGCTTTTTAAACTGAAGTGGCTCTATTTCACAAGTTTTTATAAAAGTTAAGAGGATGCTATTACATTTTGGGAGGACGGGAAGAAAAGCATTGGAATTTGAGATAGAGTTGACAGATGCACAGCTGGTCTAATATTCTTGATCCCAAATATTTCTATTTACATCCTTATTCCCCCAGTTAAGTGTCATGAAAATAGCAGTGACTGAATGAAATACTGTAGTGTCATGTCTCTGGATTCTGTTGTTGTGCATATTATTTGGGTTACATTATTAAGTCTCTAGCTGAAATTGGAAATCTTGAAATCTGGAGTGCCTACCATAAGAAGCTGTAATGATGCTTTGCAAAATGTAGTCTTCCCTTGTGGTGTAGTTAACTTCCTGGAATGAAAATCTGTTTTGAAATCACCATGGATGATGAATGAAGAATGAGAAATCTACAGTAAAATTGCCTTGCTCAACTACTAACTATGCTGTTTGAAATATTGTATTTTCAATCTACTTTAATAGCAGATTATTTCAAATATAAAGACTATTTAAATAGTCTTTAATAGTATGCATGTGTTTTTGTTTTTGTTTTTTGTATATGGTTTCAGTGCTGCAAAATATAAAAGCCATGATTGCAAATATTGTGATTACTGGGGTTTGATCTCACTTTACATTTCCTTTCTGTCTTTTCCAGAATGTGGATATGCAAGTTACCAATCCACCAGAAGTAGCTGCACTTTTTAATTTACATCAAGCACACCATTTTGGTGAGTTTGAACACTCTTCAGAACAGCACTGCAAGCAGGAGCTGTTCCCCAAGTGGCACTTACCAGTGAAGATAGCATCTGCGATCTCATTATTAACATTTATTTACACTTCTCTAAGAGATGTCATATATCCTTTTGTTACAAGAAATGAAAATGTTTTCTATAAAATTCCAATCCTTGTCATAAACAAAGTTTTACCAGTGGTTTCAATTACACTTTTAGCACTGGTATATTTACCAGGAATAATAGCGGCTGGTTTCCAGCTGTACTTTGGCACCAAGTACAAAAGATTTCCCCAGTGGTTGGATAGATGGATGTTGTCAAGAAAACAATTTGGACTTCTCAGTTTCTTCTTCGCTACAATGCACGCCTGCTATAGCCTGTGCTATCCAATGAGAAGATCATACAGATACAAGCTGCTCAACTGGGCATTCCAGCAGGTATGATGGGCTCACAAATATCAACATTTCAGTGTTGAGAGAATCCTTGTGTTGTACATCCAAACAAATCTGGTTAGGGAGAAAGCTGTTTTCATTGCCTTTGATTTTGAAACAGCTCCTCACAAAGCACTGCTAAGCAATAGAGCAGGGCCTACTTGTTAAAGCATTTTATAGGGAGTCAAGAGTCAACACAGCTGTGCCAGTGTGTATTTAGTAAGTCACTTTCTTCGTCTGGGAATTCTTAGCTCTATGTAAAATACCCATAGTTATAATTGCTTCACAGGTACATTTAAGTCTTTGGAACACTTAGTGTATTGTGGATTGATTTATTTGCATTAGTGGAATCTAACTGTCTCCAGAAACTGCTGCACACACCTTTTCTAGACATCATCTGTGTAAAGCGAATTACCAGCAATGAAGGAGAACTGAGCTAAATTACAATAATTTATATATGCCACAGACTTAACTTGCAAACACTGATGACTACACAATTTGGCTGGTGCACACTAACTTGTTAAAACAATTCAATTTATTTCAGTCATGCTTCCAAATCATGAGCAATAATTGGTTTGCAAAGCTGTCTAAAGTCTTCTGTGACTAGAGAGTTTCTAGCACATGTGTATCACCTTGGGTAGTATTCCAGCATAAGGAATATTCCCATATAAGGTGTAGAGTGCAAAGGTACAGTTTTCATATCCTTCAAGTCTAATATATGGTTTTATTGCAAGCAGAGTAGGGTGTTACTGGCTTCTGAAGAATTCTGTCATCAGTCAAACTACCTGATGAAAACTTTGAAGATCAGCCTTACTGGTAATCTGACTTCAGTGGTTTACCAGAAATTTCTGTGAGATTCCAGTTCTTAAGTGAAGGTGAAGAAATGATCATAACTGGAGCATATTACACTATGATGATCCCTAACAGCATCAAGGAACTGTTGCATGTAGTCATAAACAGCACAAGCTTTGACATCAGTTTTTTATTTTCATCCATATCAACCATTGTATTCAGTGCAGCTGAATGCACCAAGTCATTAACAACAAAAAAAAAAAAGGCTATTCTGGCAGGATAACATGGCTAAGAATGCCTGCTAAACTGGATCCCTAAAATAATGCTGTAAATATATTTCCTTGTGTTATAATCTCCTACATACTGTATTTTGCCATGAATGGAGGATTGTTTTTTTGTCTGTTTGTATTTGTCAGAGTAAGGTTTCTCCTGCTATGAGGGCAGGCTGATAGGTCTCAGAACTAGTCAGTTCTGGGCCAAGACACTGATGCAATCTGTAAATTCTTCTCAAGTAAAGCCTACCTTTGCTCTACAGATACTAGTAGAGACTTTTTCATCACAATTAAACAGCAGTTACACTTAGAGACATTCAAACAAACAAAAATACTATGTTTCTTATAGAATCATAGAATCATAGAATATCCTGAGTTGGAAGGGACCCTTAAGGATCATCAAGTCCAACTCTTGACACCGCACAGGTCTACCCAAAAGTTCAGACCATGTGACTAAGTGCACAGTCCAATCTCTTCTTAAATTCAGTCAGGCTCGGTGCAGTGACCACTTCCCTGGGGAGCCTGTTCCAGTTATCTTATTTCTTAATTATTTTTGTGAAAATAACTGTTTCACATAAATGGCTAAGTGTGCCAGAAAGCCAGCTGTATCCTGGGCTGCATGAAAAGAAGGATGACCAGCAGGGCAAGGGAGGTACTTCTCCCTCTCTGCTCCCTTGAGACCCACCTGGAGTACTGCATCCAGTTTTGGGGTCTCCAGTACAAGAATGATGTGGACTTCTTAGAGCAGAAAATAATCAGAGGGCTGGAGCCTTTCTCCTGTACAGAAAGGTTGAGAAAGTTGGGGTTGTTCAGCCTGGAGAAGAGAAGGCTCCAGGCAGACTTCATTGTGGCCTTTCCGTATATAAAGGGGGCTTACAAGAAAGATGGAGGAAGACTTTTTTACCAGAGCCTCTACTGACAGAACAAGGGCAATGGTTTTAAACTGAAAGGAAGGTAGATTTTGATTGAATATAAGGAAGACTTTTTTTTTACAGTGGGGTTGGTGAAACACTAGAACAAGTTGTCCATAGAAGTCGTGGATGCCTCTTCGTTGGAAGTGTTCAAGGCCAGGTTGGATGGGGCTTTCAGCAACCTGATCTAGTGAAAGACATCACTACCCATGGCCGGGGGGTTGGACTAGATGGTCTTTAAAGGTCCCTTCCAACCCTATGATTCTTCTGGCAGGTCAAACAAAAGAAAGAAAATGCTTGGATTGAACACGATGTTTGGAGAATGGAGATTTATGTGTCCCTAGGAATTCTGGGACTTGCTTTGCTGGCTTTATTGGCAATAACCTCAATCCCATCTGTCAATCATTCGTTGACCTGGAGAGAGTTCCACTACATTCAGGTACACATAAACATCATTGCATGTTATTACTCATTTTTAGGACTGTATGTTATCAGCTAACATCATTCCTAGTTAAAAATACTAAATATAGAGTCATTAATGAAACCAATGTAAAAGTTTATTCAGCACCCTTTGTTAACTGTTTTGCAAAAAATATTCATTTCATTTGTTATTTTGGGAGAAGAAAAGGCTGTCATATTCAGGGAATAAAGTGGAAAGAAAGATAGCTCCAAGTTGACCAGCAGAAGTTGTTCCTTCAGAAACTATTCTGAGGTCAAAGACCTCTGGCTCTGAAAGCATTTCAGTTATCTTCTGGGCTTTTTATGTTTCGGGAAAGCCTTGTGTCCTGCTGAACTGGGAGTAGGTGGTACTGAACCAGATGAGAGTGTTGGCATAAAACATGGGTTTCCATTACAAAAGGATCATTGCCTGTTGCTCCCTTGGAGCCATTTTGGCTATTCTGTACTGCCTGAGCAATACCAAGTGGCTGGCAAGTCCAAAAGCCTCCTGCCTTCTGGAATGCAGAGGTTTTCCATATGCAGTGTCACTAGCCTCACAGCCCACTCCAAAAAGCTGCATTCTGAGAAGGGGATGTCTTAGAACAGACACATAATCAAATCCAGCCAGTCATGAGTTCTGCTACAAATGTGCTTGTTTGTTCACCTAGTACCTGTTTTGCTCTTAGTGTCAGTATCTTGCACAGTAATAATCAGGGGTGGTTCTGCTGGCATCAGTATGATCACACTGTGTTAAGCAAGTGTTGAGCTGGGTCCCTGAACACCAAAATCTGAAAATTCAATGACCTACTGAGCACCTGTCATTTGAGAACTTGTTATGAATTTGAAAAGTAGGTCTGAAACATGTATTTCTTGACAATTAGTGATTTGGGAATCTGTTCATTCTATGAAGTACATCAGTTGTAAGATAAGTTTGTCAGCTCTACAGAGACTGTATGAACAGGTGTAGGAGGGAGTCTCCTAGTGCATAATTACTTTCCATATTAAGCTATCATGGTGGAGAAATCCAGAAGAGTAATGCTAACATATTGGATTAGTTTTATAAAAAAATAGCTTTTATACTAATCATATCCTGTAGATTTACCACTTAGAAAGGCACTTTACACTGATGAGTAATTCCATTTTTGTAATAAAAGCAATATTTTTATGTACACAGGAAACAAAATTGGTAGTAACTCTTGCATAACTTTTCCTTTTCTCCTTAATCTCAAATCCTAAGCCAAATTTATCATAGTACTAGATTTACTAGAGTTACTGACTTTAACTGACCTTAAAAATTCCCTTTGCAAACAGTTGATTAAACCATTTATAAGTCTGTTTTTGAACTCATAATAATTTATCACAGAAGATATGGTAATTTAGGATACAGGTGACATCTACAAACTGAGATATTGAGAACTGACACAGTTTGGGGAATCTGTGATCTGTATGTTAGTCCACTATCATATCAATAGGAGAAAAATGTGCCTTATCTTTTCTGGTGACATAGAAAGGTAGAGCTGGATTCTTGAATTACAAGTTTTTAATTTTAATTCAAAGCTAATGTTTTCTTTTCTTTCACTTACATGCGTTGTTTGAGGCCTTTTCTTATTTCCATTTTTCCTTAAAAGAGTGATCTTTTTACCAAGGTTTAAAAAATAAATAACTTACTGTTATCTTTCTCTTTTCAGAGCAAGATGGGATATGTAGCTCTGCTGCTATGCACAGTTCACGCACTGGTGTTTGCTTGGAATAAGTGGGTTGATGTTAACCAATTTATCTGGTACACACCTCCTTCATTTATGGTAGCAGTTTTTCTTCCTATTGTAGTCCTGCTCTGTAAATGCATACTGCTCCTCCCGTGTTTCAGGAAGAGGATAAAAAAGATCAGATGTGGTTGGGAAGACAACACACAAACCAATCAAACCAGCATGACTTCCAGGCTGTAGATCACATATGGACATTTCCTGTCTGCTGTATGTAAATATGCTCAAGTCCACAAAATGTTCACTTGTGAGTTCTGTTTCCATATTTTTCTTAGATGTTACTTGTTTACTTTTCATTTCAGCTGCAAAGGTATGGGATACTTGATGCAACTGGGACCTTTGCTGAGACAGAAATTGAAAACATTCATTTTACACTTTAATCTCTTTGGTGTTCTGATATTTGATCATTTCTTTCTTCTGACTCATTGCTCTTAAAACACCAGTACTTCATCACCTCAATCGTAATTCTTTCTTTGGCAAAAGCAATCATAAATCATCGGTCCAGATGACCACAGAAAGTAAATAAATCATTACACCACAGAATCCAGGAATGCTTTCTGCATCCCACAGACATGTTTGTTCCCTGGTTAAATCTCAGTGTTATGAAGGGAAAACAACTTGAATATTTATTATCCTGTCCCCCCTTATCCCTTGCATCCTACATTTCACTCTGCAGAATGGGGACCTTAGCACAGAAGCCACACAAAAAGTGTGTTGCATTCCCACCACATATTGAATTCAGACAATCAAGCAAGCAGAATTCCAGGGAACTTTGCAAGGCAAATCTCTCCTGAGGCTTAGGCACAGTCTAAAATAAGAGATTTTAGACTCAGATCTACATTTTATACAGGACTAGGTGTGTCTGTTTATTTAGAACCATAAAACATTTTCCTTTTTTTTTTTCCATGAACACATTCTTTTGTTTCTGATGCTGGAAATTTTCCATGCTTTTGACCCAAGCCTGCTGCCGCTGACATGTGCTAATCTTTATTAACACAAATTATTCCAGTGGGATAGCTCACACGTCAGGTAAATGTGTTTTACTGTTTACTCTAGGGCCAGTACAATTGTGTGACTAGAAGAAAAACATTAAAAATAGGCATTTGAACCTTGGCATTGATTTGGTGAGATTTTCATGTAAAATCACTTCTGAATATGTTTGCTTTTACTAAAATTTTAGTATAAGCTGATGAAGCTTCACTTTCTTTGTGTTACATAGGTCTGTCTGAAATTTTTAAATGAATAATTCATTTATTAGCATCTATTTTTAAATATGTTATGCAGTAGTTAATATATTCACCCAGCAGCAGAAACATTTCTGCCAGTTTCCCTGTGTGAGCTGACTAGGACATGGACTGATGGTGCCGGCTATTGCTGGGATCACCCAAATGAGAATTGTAACTGGTAATGGCTCTGGTATTAAGCAAACAGGAAAACAATGGTTACATGAAAATATATGTAACACACTGTGCTAATGATTCTGCAGCTAATAATCCTGTTGTACATTTGAGGGTTTGGTACACTGAGCATAATTAACAAATTAAATAGCTACAGAGATGCTACATTTTGTATTTTCCTGGTTATAACTCCAATTATTGCAACTTAAAAATTGTCTTTGTGTTTTGCACTTGATGTAGTACTGTGAAAATAAGTGGGGACGTGGTGGCCTGTGTAATATAGACTGAAGAGACGTGAGTGACATTGTGTGTCAAATCAGTAATGCATGACAAACGTAAGCACTAAAACACAGAAAGCCAGTCTGGAAAGTGAACTTAAGAATCTAAAATAACAGAAGAAGTGTGGTTGTTAATACATGAGCATTTATATTTCTGTCCAGGAAATAAATAAAATTAATTAGAAGTCATGTTAGGGATTGTCCTGGTTTTAACTCTGTCCCAGCTGAAACCAGAACAGATAGGACTTCCCGAAGGCTTACCCAGAATATTAACTGCACTTTGTTGTCAGGAGTCATAAAAACCTTAATAAAGTAATTTTTTTTCCAGTAGAACAGGTTAAGAAAAGTGTTATGATAAAGAAATCAAATTATCCATTAGCTACTCAAAACATATGCTCAAATTTACTACTTAGGACAAAGATGAGATTTAAAATACTCCAAGCAAGCCCAGCGTGCATCCATTGAAGAGATTAATATTTGGTTTTATCAAAACATGTTAAATTTTGTTCTTCAGAATCAGCTCTGCTGCTCCCTTACTAAGAAAATCTGGAGAATTGAATTCAATCTCCAGTTTTGCTAAATTCTGGTCACATAGTTGGATTCATCATTTACAACTGGTCATAGAAGCCAGCCCTTTGCCACAGGGAAATATAAACAGCTTCAAGGTTAACAAGGTTTGTGACACAGAGAACAGAACCCTTGATAGCTGAAAACTGAAAAGAGGTGAATGAAGACACTCCTTGGAATAAGCCATTCACAGCTAGTCCTACGGCATGTGTAAAATAAAATCTCAAGTAGGAGCAAGGTTTTCTGTGCAACAGCCAGCCTTTTCTTTATAATGTACTGTTGAATGCTTAGAGCCAGAATTTGAGACCTCATATCAAGTCTCTTCCCTGCTTTGTAAGTCTTTAGTAAACTACTTCACCTTTAAGTAACTCACTTCTCAATCTGTAGTACTGGAGTAGTACTCCTCTGCAAGACATTGCAACAGCATGTTCAAGCTTTTAAGGCATTCAGATGCAATAGTGAGGGAGGAGGGTCAGGTAAGGGGTGTAAAGAGCTGCAGAAGAATATGCTATTAACAGTAGTTTATTTCTCCCTTTGTCATAGATATGATTTAGTTCAACACTAATTACAATGAATGCATATGTACCTCTTAATTTATGTTTATACAGCTATTTCAAAATTCAGTGTATTAATATGTCTGTATACTACTATAATATAGAAAAACAATGTGTCTGCCAATTTTAGGCACTTATTTGTATAACACTGATTATTTTTATAAAATTATGTATCATTAAATGCTTAATTGTATATATACTGTGTCTGCCATTGTGTAATATCCATCCAGACCTGTATAAGGGTAAAAAGGCATGACAAAACCTAGAAGAGCTGCTGACATGAACATTTAAACAGCTTTAGTCAAGGGGGAATTTTCTCCCCATGCTAGCTGAAAATCCTGGATTTTCCAAAGGAGAGAAGACATAGATGTGAAAAACAAAATGGACATTTTCATAGAGAGATGTAATGAAAAGAAATTTGGATAGATCTTTTAACTGACAGGCCATGTAGCCTAGCATTTGGAGGAGATTTTTGAGAAGGAACAGAAAGCTGAGTTGGTTGTGGAATGCTTTGGAAAGAGACCTGTGATCCCTGAAAATGCTGATTAAAGATCAGGAAAAGCTCAAGAATGGTGAAGACAAAGAGGAGGGGAAAGTAATGCAGCCATATTCTTTGGTAAGAATCCATCACTCTAGTGTAAGGGATTTTGCAATGCCTTTACAAAGGTTACAATGTACTTCCTTAATTAAGTCAGAGACACAGAATTGAAACTGGAGAGAGAACTCTCAGACTGTTGAAGGGACTTCACAAATTTCATGACCTACCTGAGATAGTGAGATCCCAGAATACTATTCTCAAGAAGTGGTACCAATGATGAATGCCCGGGAAGCCAGAATCAGGCTGTGCTGGCTATGGTTTAATGTCAATTCCTGTTGACAGCAGCCTTTACTGTAAGCTGTAAAGGCCATACTTCTCAATTATCTCAGTTCTTCTAACAAAAGTGTGTAAAGCTGTACACAAAAGTGTGTAAAATCAGTCCAGGGAGTTTGATCCAGTTAAAAAGTAATGATTCATCCAGAGCCATGTACTGCTCTGATTGACCTGATAGGAGTGTGCATATGCCAGCATGAAGGACAGGAAGAGAGATCACAGAATCACAGAATATCCTGGATCTGAAGGGACCCACAAGGATCATGGAGTCCAACTTCTGCCTCCACACAGGACCATCTAAAAACCAGACAATATGTCTGAGAATGTTGTCCAAACATTTCTTGAACTTAATCAGGCTTATTGCCATGACCACTACCCTGGGGAGCCTGTCCCAGTGTCCCACCCCCCCCTGGGTGAAGATTTTAGTTCAAAGTCGTTTAAACTGCACAGTAGTAAGTGCTCCTAAAATTCAAAGCTTAAATCCCATTCTGCTAGCAAGACTGTTTCATCACTTCGCCTGTTTGTCAGGTTCTTAGTTTTCCATGAATCAGTAGGCAAAAATGTGTTCTAGAAATTATCACCAAAACCCCAAACAGACTGACTTCTACATGGCTGTCAACTGTGTGGCTTCATCTGTGAAACGATGATCTCATGTCTTCCTCTCTTTTCTGCTACATCCACAGTTTTTACTATTGTCCCCTGATTCCAGGAAATTTTGTGTTAACCATTTCTGAAATTCAGTCTAACTACTTTTAAGCTGATTTTCTTAAAATGACATAAAAAGAATTGTTTAAAAGAACACAAGGAAAAAATAAAGACCGATTTTTGAAAACATGCTGAATCCACCCTTGGAGAATGTAGCCTGCTGTAATCACTTTGTCTGTCAGCCACTGATCATTGTCACTGACTTTTTTTCAGTATTGCCAGGATTTCTTGATCCTATCAGCACTTTCTGTTGCCGATGGTAAAATAATTTATTTTGGTGAGAACCTCCTTAACAATATCTCATTGAATTCAGGTCAAGTTTTGCATCATTGCTTGAAATTTGCAATAGATTGAAAATGATATTTAAGTGGGTGTGGTGGAGATAATTTACTAAGTGTGCATAATAAGTTTTCAGAGATTCTCAAATGAAAATATAAAAACAGTCAGCAAACCAAATTATCAATTTACAAAGCAGACTACAGCTACTTCCAATAAAGATGATGCAACAGAAGATAGCATTGTTTTGTCATTTTTTTGTTTCTTTCTTTCTTCTTACATGTTTTCATCTTTGTAGCAAGAAAGTGTATTAGTGAGATAAATACGCTATGTTCTTGACTTGGTTAAAGATTTGTGGTGCCTCTATGGCTGGTAGAATATTACTACTGCTACAACTGATGGAGATATTTGGTCCTTAAATTTCATCTGTGGGACTCACTATTAAAAAAAAAGAAGCGTGGCAATTGTGGGGTCTTTTGAACTGGACAGACAATCATAGTCACATAGCTTTTCTATACATGCATACACTGTTTCATTGGATGTACTCTACTGGAAAAGAATTTTCCATCTGAATACCTCATTATTTGAAAATCTGTAAAAAAGCTGATTTCTGGGCTTGAAGAATGGCCACATAATATTTCTCCAATTTGTCCTCTGCCTTTTTGTCCAGTCCTGTCACTCATATATTGGATAACATTTCTCTCGTCTGTCCACCTGTGTTTGTGCATGTATCAGGATAACTTCTGACCAGCTTATCTCATTCATTCAAAAGTATTCTAGGTGTTCTAACAGGAAATCTACATCTGGGGGGCAAGGGATGGAAAAACAAAAAAAAAAAAAAGAAAAAAAAAAAAGAAACCTGAGTGGAAAGAAAAGGAGCCCCTTGCAAGGCACCTCAGGCATCCCTGTAACAGATCAGAGGTCTAGCAATTCTTTGACAGGACCCATAATTAAAATAGCAACAGCTTCCTCTTGTACCTGCCTAATTTCCAACCGAGTTAGCACATTCATGATATAAACATCCTAAATTATTTATTCCCAAATAATTAATGACAGAGAAAACGGTATTCGGGGGCAGAGGAAAGCTGGGACTATGGAACTATGCTAGGTGTTAACATGGAATGGGAAGGGACAGGACAACTGGAGATCCCATTATGAAATTAAAAGGACACCAAGGAAAAGAGACATTGCAAGCTAACAGATTTTCTTATGAAAGGAAAGAGTGAAGGAGCCCCAATGGATGTTAAAGGGGAAAAATAGGTCAGATGGGGGAATTCAATGAACACTAGCAACATCAATATAGTAGAGAATAGAAATCCCTAGTACAGGAGATGGGTAAAATAAGGGACAAGACAAAGACAGACAGCACAGCATCTGAAGAGCCTGAAGTGAATCCATGAAACAGAGGGGATGAGAGGCTTACCCACATGAAGCTGGAGAGTGGAATATGTGGTATGTAGCATAACACTTAACAATACCTCTAAACACCCTTTTCCCTCTGTTCTCTTAATCTTGTTCCTCCCTGATTCACCTTGATCCCTCCCTTACTCCACCTTTGTTCCTTTTCTGAAGCATCCCATAAGAAGTCTTGCACATTCTCACAATCCCCTTAAAACAGCCCATAATAAGTTTCATACTGATTCTTTTCCCTTTGCATCTCAGGTGATCAAGGTGTGGAGCAGCTGCTTTACAGGATGAGACTAAAAAGGCAGAGGCACTTCAAATGGGATGGGAGATTGCAGAAGATCAAGGTTTGCAAACTAACGAAGAGAGTGGATAAGATAAACAGAGAACTGTTTTTCACCAAGCCCTGGACTAGGGAAGATTCAATGAAACCAGTAGGATATTAGTTTACAACTGCCTAAGACCACGCATCTTTGTACAGTGGGTAGAAAACCCCTGCAGCCTGCTGCCACGGGGGGCTGTGGAGGCAAACAGCATCAACAGGTTCAAAAGGGACTTAAACTCAGAGACAACAGCCCCTAAAAAGACACTAAAAGGACTTTCCAGGCATGTACCCTATGGCATCACTAATACAAATGAGGATTTGGGGGAAGAGCATGAGATAGAGTGGTGAGGCTTGCACGCCCACCTTAAATAGCATTCTCTTTTGCCACACTTGTACACGTACTCATGGGTTAGACAGGCCATCAGTCTAACCAAGTAGTGTGTCTTATGTTCCTTTACTTCAAGAGGAAATCTCTCAGACTGATACACTGCTCTAATTTGGTATGATTGGAAAACAAGTATGTTGGGAATGAGAACTTAAGTCTTGACTGAAAAGCTGTTGCTTTGATCTTGCAAAGAACTGCTTAACTTTCAGGCTCTGCGGCAACTCACTGACCGCGGTTCATTTCTGTGGAATTAACTACATAAATTTTCACAGGACTGGGAACAGAATTAGTGTTTCATTGTTCTGTAAAGATACAGCTTTTCTCCCCACAGTGCTGAGCTGCAATTGAATTATCTTGGTTTGAGTTTCATTTGCCAAGGAATATTTTACACCGACAGCATGGTTCCATTCAGGGAAAAAACATATTCAAAATAAAATAACTGAACACCTAGCCTAGGACAATGTACATAATGTAATAAAGTAATGAAGATGTTAATAAACATAAACATTTAACATTTTAAATGTTATATTTCTACTTTTTCACATCTACTATGCTACATACTATGCAGTGATCTTAATTCTTTTTAATTTTTCTTCCGCTCCCATGCAAAACCTGTGGTCTGCAGCTTTGTGAAGGAAATTTGACCTCAAATACCTGCAATCCCAAACTGTTTGTAACACAAACACTAGTCTTAAGCTGTCAGACAGTGGTCAAGCCACAATGTAACTTGTGCTTCCCTCAGCTGGTTTGGTATTCAAGCAAAGAATTAATGTTTTTTTAAATGAGTTTTTCAATTTTTTCAATATCTATATCTTCATTAAGAAGGACACACCTGTTCTTGGTTATCTAGTCAACTTACAGAAAATTTTGCTCAGGATTTAATTGTTTACATTCTAAAAATAATCTGTTTTACCCCTGACTTTGGGTCCAACAATTAATTGCAGACAGAAGATCACATTTTTAGAACCTACTGTCCCACTTTGAAGTAGCTTTTTAAGATGAACAGCCATGAACCAGGAAGATAGATTTTGATCTTCTATAACTTGCACCACAAAGCAAAGGTGTTTCAAAAGTTATAGGGAGATGTGGAAAGGTCATACAAGACCTTGTGCTCATACAAAGCCAAAGAACAAAGCTAAAGCCAAAGAAGCCAAAGGTCCTGAAACTCCTTAGCTGTGCCTCAACAATGGCTATGGAAAACCATAGTCAGAGAAAGCTAGGAGAGGTTTCCTTCCGTCAGCTTCTTTCTGGTGCATACTATTTATCTGCCAGGTCATAAAAACAATATCAGAAACAATACTCTCTGTTACTTAGATTGCCACAGAAATGAAACTGTAGGTCTGAATCTTCTCTGTTTTGGGGTGGTGGTAGGGTGTTGAGTACCTGTCCTCTGTTTTGAACGAATCACCTTTAACTTGTGCTTCCTATTGGGAAGAAGGAGACACTCTGTCTTGATTCACATGACATGCTAAGGATTCTCAATTTTGGCATATTAAATGTGTTTTCTCAATTTTGGCTTATTAAATGTGTTTTATAAGGGGTTTCTTTCTTTTTTTCTTCTTTCTTTCCATCTTTCTCTCTCCCATTTTTTTGTCTTTTTCTTTTTTCTTTCTTTTTTTTTCTTTTAATTCTTTTTCTCCTCCTTCCATCTCCCGTCGTCTTGTCTCATCTCCTCATCTCCTCTCCTCTCCATTAAAAGAATGTCTAAATGTTTGTTTTTTTTTTAATTTATTTCACTATGTCTTTCTGTCCTTGCCTTTGACTACTGACGTTCAGATCCTATATAGTCTGAAAGAAGCAGCGATACCTGCAGAGTTAGTGAAAAGGGGACATCACAAGTGAAATCCGAAAAATGCAAAGAACAAAACAATATTTCTACAAAAAAAAAAATAATAAGCTACAATTTTCTAAATTTCTCAGATCCGTGTTGTATTTACAAAGAATGGTTAAGAGGTACAAGTTTTATTTTTAAAATAATTGTAGGCTGCCATAAGAAAAAAAAAATAGTTGGCCTGAATGTTCCTGGCTGGGAAATACTCTATTTTTCTGCTCAGGTACAAAATTAGCTGTGTTAAGGGTAGTATGCCAGAAATGATTGTATTTGGGTTTGTTGCCCCAATAGGAAGCAAATTTCTGTGTGTTTGTTTTCACTCATTTTCCACAGGAAAATCCCTGGGGCTTTGCTTTCCCTTTGCCAAGAGGAAGAACCAGAATATCTGTTTCCATTTGCAAACTGGAAACTCCTTTGTTATTCATGTTCCATCCCTTAAAGGAAGAAATAATAATGCTTCCCTGGACTTCCCTAAAGAAAGTAAAGCACCTGCTAAAAGAAAATAGTCTCTTTTTTTTTCAATTGATTGTATAAGACAGGCCTTCAACAAGGTGCCTAAGAATTACATGGTCTCTAGAGCTTTGTATATAATTTGAGAGCAAGTTATCCAACTCAATTTCATAATCTCACTGAAGATGCACGTTCCATCTTTGCAGTGAGTTTTACGCGTATAAAAGGCCTGTATATACCTAGCCCTCATGCTAAACTCAGTGCGAAATGGGGACTTTTTTTGCTTCTCCTGTTTGAATGGATCAATTACACAGCGACAGAATGGAGATGGGAGTTGTTTTGCTATCAATTTAAACAAGGATATTCAAACTGTAAAACCTTTAAAACATGCAAAGAAAACGTATGATCAAGTGAAGCCATCCAAACTGACTTAATTTTTAACTTACTGCAAGTTTTAGGCATTGGAATTATGTTTAGATGACTTAGATGGTTTAGATGTTGAACTTAGTGATATGGTTTAGTGGAGGACTTGTTAGTGTTAGGTCAGAGGTTGGACTCAATGATCTTGAGCTCTCTTCCAACCTAGACAATTCTGTGATTCTGTGATTCTGTGATAATGTAATAGGTATCAGGTTAGTGGTGTCTGTTTAGTAGGCTGGTAAATGAACATAACTCAAAAGTTTCCTCCTTTACCGCTATGCACAGAAGCTAAAGCTAGACAGGCTGGCACACAGTGGAAAGAAAAGGAATTGTGGATTAACTATGCAAAAGTGAAAGGTACAGTGGCCCAAGGACATTAGGCCCACTCTTAGTTTTCCTTGTCATAGAATCATAATATCTTCTGAGTTGGAAGAGATCCATGAGGATCATCCAGCCCAACTCCTGACTCCACACAAGACAACCTATGGGTTAAACCATGTATCTAAGAGCATTGTCCATACACCTACAAGTGTCATCCAAACGTTTCTTGAATACCAACAGGTTTGGGGCATGACCACTTCTCTGGGAAGCCTACTCCTTCCTCTCAGAGAAGATCTTTTTCCTAATATTCAATCTGAAACTCCCCTAATGCAGCTTCAAGTCATTCCCTTTCATCCTATATGATTCTGTAAAGAACCATTACTCATTGCAAGAAAAAGGAAGTGGATATGCATATCAACATTAACAAACAAAACAAAACAATGTACTTCACAATTTTATGACTAACACTGATTTTGAATAAAATTCACTCATTCTAGTAACACGTAGAAACAACTACAGAGTGTTGGTGAGAAATGTCACTGAATGACATTGCTGAGAACAGTGGTGTGTTAGGCTTGAAGGATCAGAGTCTGAGCTGGCACACTGTGTACACGAGCTGGTCAAGACAACCACGTGGAAAACATACCTAGTGAGCAATCACAAGGCAAACAGTTGCATGAGAAACAGGTAGCAGAATTCAGGGATCATTTCAAGGTGCGTGAATTCATCTCATGACTAAATACACCTTTTTTAATGTAAATATTTTTATGACTATGTCACATAAAGCAGCATATAAACAGCCACAAGTAACGCAGAAAGCAATATTTCATTTTGTTGTTGTTGTTTTCTCTGATACATTTGTTGTTTGGACTAAAAATTTTAAGCCTAAACTCCTGAAGTCATTATTGGCTACACAAGGACAAGCCTAGGATGACAACTTCTGAATCAATAACAAAGAAAAGGGGAATATTAGAACAAGAAAGTGAAGGGCTGAAATGCCAGCTCTCACTGTGGAAAGGACCAGTTCATTTCTGAACAGTTTGTCAGTGGGTTCACCTTTCCAGTGATTACTGGAGTATGGGAACAGTCCTCACAGCCCGGGAGCCAAAATGCAGTTTGGAAAATCACAGAATAGAATTTCAGAGCATCTATTTACATATATATATATATGCATATATATATATATGTTATACACATGTATATATACGTTATATATGTATACATATATATATATATTACACATTACATATATGTACATTATATATGTGTTTTATATTTGTGGGAGAAATGGCTTCTGAATCACAATTAAAAAGTTTCTTAGCTCTTTTCAAATTCTGCAGCATGTTTGTTTGCATTTATTTATTGAAACAAGTTTGAATGGATTACATGGTTCATTATGATTAAGCCCTCAGCTAACGCACTAGAAAAACAAATTAGCAGGACGACAGTTCAGTGTTTCATTCATGATTTCATCTCTACACGTTACCTTTCTGCCTAAACATGAGCGACGTTCATGATAGCTGTTTATTTTAAACGTGGTAAAGGGTTAAGGGTGACACGTCGCCATACACACAGCACAGCTTAACGGGCGGCATAATATGTTAGGCGAGTCAGAAAACGTTAAAACCAGGAGCTGCACTTCTCCGGAATAAAGCCGCGTTTGTGTTCAGCTGGAAATTTCCTCGGCCGGGCCACAGAGGATTCGGGCCCTGTGGTTTAGCTGGCGTTGGGTCCCCTCACCATGGTGCTAACCCCACCACCAACCCCACCACCAACCCAAACAAACACCAACCCCACCACGCCAGCCCCACACAGGCAGCTCGGGCACCCACCACCAATCCCCCCCATCCCGCCGCCATCCCCGGCTGAGGCCGGCGGTGCCCGGGAGCGGCCGCAGGGGGCGGGCAGCAGCGGTGGGGTGGCGCCGCCTCCCCGCCCGCCCGGCGCTGCGGGGCCGAGGCTGAGGAGCCGGAGCGGCGGCGCTGCCCGTGCGGGCGGGCGGGAGGAGGTGAGCGGGGCTGGAGGGGGGCTCCCGGCGGGGCTGTGGCCCCCTCGGGCCGCCCGTGAGCGCCGTTTCTTTCCCCGCGGGGGCTCCCCGCTCGCTCCCGGCCTGGCTGTGGCGCGGAGCCGGGCCCGGCCGCTCTGCTCCGGGGCGGGCATTTTGTGTCTAGGGGGCTGAGGGGAGAGGTCGGGGCGGCCGCTCCTCTCACGGGCAGCGTTGTCGGTGTGTCCTTACAGCTGTACAGACGGGCGCCCCGCGCTGCTATGAGCTCGTCCCAGGTGGGTACCCGCCGCCCCGGCTCCGGCAGTGCCTCAGTGTCCGCCACCACCAGCAGCAGCCGCCGCCGCTCCGGAGCTGCCACACCGTAAGTTGTCGCCGGAGCGGGGCCCCGAGGGCAGCACCGAGCCCCTTCCTCACGGCAGCACCTGACAGAGCCACGGCCAGGCTTTGCCTGCTGCTGTCCTCCTCCAGGGATCGTGCTGCCCGGGGCAGTTTGTCACAGCCGGGTCCCCGTCTGGCTGATGTAGCTCTGCTGTGTTTTCCTGGGTTTATCTAAGGACAGTTGTCAAATTTGTATCATTCCTGCTGTCAGATTTCTCTCATCCCTTTTATTTTTTTGTATCTGCAAAGCCAGTTGTTTTGTACAAGGTGTTTTTTATCTTGCAGTGTGCTCCTGAACAACCCATGTTAGCTACTTATCAGCTTTCCACCTGACTGTTTACAAGCTGATTGCTCAATAATTTGCTGTAAAATCTTTCCAAAGACTCAAGTTAGGTTAACAAGTCCTTTACCTCCCTTGGTCCTCCTCCTCCCCCCTCTTGGAGGTATGTGCTGGTCTCCCTCTCGTGTCCTCTCTGACTTCTAAAGGCATTGCTTGGGTCAGCTCTTCAGGCATCAAGGGGGGGATTTCATAAGTGCCCGCTGACTCGAAAATCTTTATCTTATCTTGGTCTTTTAACCTACCTCCTTCCACTTTGACCTCACCTTCTGTCTCCCTGCAAGATGAATTTCATTAAATATTTAGTCACAATTAATCTTTCTGCTGGGGTCTGGCATAAGACATTTCACACTTCCATCCTGTTTTGCATCACCTATGATTTGTTCCTTTTGCTCTTAAGTGATGAACCTTGCCTTCCTTTTTTTTCCTTGTATTGTCTTCATGGAAGCTTTGCTTGCTACCCTTTATGTCCTTTACTAGAAGTAACTCATTTCTGTACCATGGCTGCTCTGATTTTATCACTACATGCTAGCATTGGCTCTTAATAATGATCCTTAGCCATGTACCCCCACATTTTTTTTTTTTTTTTACCTTTTATGTGATTTTTTCAGATCATTAAAGTACTCCTGATGCAGTTAAGACAGTTTTACACACTTTTGCCTTTGAACTGCTTTTGTGCACTGAGTCCCTTTTGTGCACTGAGTCCCTTTCAGTAACTGCCAGCTCTCTGCTTTCTTCCATCTCTTAGATTATTTGCCCAAGACTCATGCTTGTCTGTTCCCTGAGGTTGTTTTTATGAAGTCTGTTAGTTTTATTCCATTCCTCACATTCTACTTTCCTTAGAACAGTGAGAATCTGTGTACAGTGGACCAAATTCAGCTCAGGAGAGCAATTTGTCATGTCCTATGATGTCTCCTCTCGAGGATTCTTTGGACAAAAACTGGAAGTAGGCTGCAGTATGGCTAAACAGTACCAGTAGCCCACTTTCTCTTGGCAGTTCCATTTCCATTCCTATCAGTTTTGCAGTACTTTCATATCCCATGGCATGAACTGAAATGAGGCTCTCTAATCACATGGTGAATGCATGCATCTTCTGTGACGTCTACTTGATGTACATCTCTTGTCTCATCAGAATACAACTATTCTCATTATGTTCCTGGATGTGAACCCACCGTGGTACGGGAAATGCTGGCATTTTGGTCATGTGTTAGCTACGTTTTGGGTCATATGGCACGAAAGAAGTCAATGTTTGTTTCAGTGCATGCATAAAACACTGTGTGCTCTACCTCTACCAGAATGCATCATTATTGGAATCTTCTATTAGAACACTGATTTTGTGGTCACTTTCACTTACTATTTTCCATCTTTAGAATCTCAGTCCAATTTCAGTGATTTCCTCCCTTTAGTGAAATGAAAAGTACCCAGTGAAGAACATTTTTCGAACAGCTTCCTCCAAGCTTCTGGAGCACAAAGCTACTCTTGAGTGTAGGAGATTGTTCTACACACGTAGTGTGTTCCCATCTAATGACTGGGTAAAGTTCCCCACTGGTTACTGTTATATCAGCCCTTAGATGATTGCTCAGAAAGAGTTTCATTCTCCTTTCTGTGTGGTTTGCTGTTGATAGCTCCCAAGACAGCAGCAACCTGGTGCTTTCCCTTTACTCCTCCTTAACCTGCCTTTCCTTATTGCTTCATTGATTTTCAGAGCTCATTCTTACTCTACAGTGGGGAACCACCTGTGTCAGAACTGTAGTTTCATGCAAAGGCTTCCTTCCTGGGGATTGTTTTGTGTTTTTGTTTTTGCTTTTTATGTCTGTCTTTTTGTGTTTGTTTTTGTGTTTGTTACAACTTTACTGCAGTTTAGTGACCTCTTCTCTCCAAAGCTATAGCAGTATTTCTTTTAATTTTCTGAAAGACTTTGATTGCTCACGGCCTCCCTTACTGCAGTGGTGAATTCGAGTCTTAAAAGTCTTTAATCCTTTTTTTTTTTTTTTTTTTGATTGTGTGAAATCTGTCACACACTATCTGTCAGTGAGTCAGTACTGTGCTTGAATAGTACAAGAAAAACTTTTCATTGTTCCCTGTGAAAGTAACTTTTTGACAAGTTTGTATGGTTGAACTGGACATATACAGAATATATTATTCTTACAAGAAGGATGTACATGTATTGTCTCCTTAAAACTGTAGCAGCCAGGAATAAAAAGGCTTTGAAAGGTCCCTAGACCTAATTATTGTATTAAATGGGCATAGGAGAAACAAGCTTTGTTTTTGAATAGGAGGGGAATCTTAATAAGAAACATTTTGTTTTCATTGTTATTTCTAAGTTACTGGATCAATGTCAGAGGAAAGTTAAGGGTGTATTTTTGTTGTATTCATTTTTCTTGTGGTCATATAATGCTCAAAACTAAACAATCAGTCTGTAATGTGACACTGAAATAATAGAGATTGTCTGCTGAATGGTGTTGTGATGTAACTCAGAGGCATCCAGTACTGAATCCAGTTGTCAGCCTTGAAAAATGCAACTTTCCACTCCCTGAGAGTTCTATTTTTTAATTCAGACTGAAGTCATAAAAGTACTGTTCCATGTATATCATTTATACCACAACAGTACTTAGAGTTGGAATGCATCTGCCAAGGTTGCTCCGTGCTTACCTTTGAAATCCACCATGAATGGAGAATGAATACGTAGATACTGCAGTCTTCAAAGATTTGAAATTTAAGTACTAAAACTTGCCTAGATTAAACTCTAGCTTTTATATTAGTGAGTCTTTATTTCCTTTATGAATATAGACATGCTGTCATACAAAGATCTGTTTTAAATATAAAGAGGAGTTTCTGTGTGCTGACAGAATTATTCTTTCACGGAGACGCAATTATTTCACCCTTTTGTCTTTCATATAGCCTTTGTTGAATTCCCTGAAAAAAGTTGATACTTTTTTTTTGGAAAAACATTGTGAGATTCATCATGACAAAAAAACATAATCACAGTAATAATAAATATTATATGTATGCAGGTTTTATATGTGTAGCTCTTATCACAGTCCTCTTAAAACTGTAAATGAACCTCACAGCCCTATTTTTATCCCCTTTCTGAATAGCACTGCACTCTAAGTAATTGACTTCTGTCAGAATTGATCGTGTTTTCTGTAATGCAGGTGATCAGAATACATGGCTCTCATCACAATCCTTTTTTAAAACTGTAAATCAGCTATCTCAGTTTTATAGACAGGATACCTGAGCAGTATGGCTAAGATCAGGATTTCCATACCTAAGTCCTTCTAAATCAGATGGTTACCACTGGACAGTTTGGTACCTGCATGTAACTAATGTGTTATGTAGAATTAGTCAAGAGTTACTTACTGATCACACTTTATACTGAAGAAATCTAACTTCTTTCCCTCCTTTCCATCTTTGTTCATTAATCACTGACCTTGCTGCCGTCTTCCTACAAACGTGTCAATTCTCTAAACCCTTCTACATTATGCATTTTTTTTAACCAGGATCAGCAGTCATGCATCTTTATGCCTCATTGATTTGCTGATTTTAATTAAAGTGGTTTTAAAAATATAGGTACTATCTTTCCTATATTTTTTTATTTCCTTTTCAGTTTTTCACTACATTCTTATTTACTTCTGTATTATTAAAGTGCTTGAAATTCTTGTGCTTCTCCTTGTATTACTGACACATATGCACTAATCAATTTTGTCTTGATACTTCATGAAGGAGAAAATAGAACATGAAAATTGGATCCACAGAATTTGTATCCAGAGGTGTGCATGGATTTTGACAGCTCATTAAAATGTATGACACTGCTTTTTTCCTTCTGTTATTTTCTCTTCTTTTTTCCAGAAAACAGCATTGTAGGTTTGGTGGCTTAGAAGGATGGAATCAATCTCTATGATGGGAAGTCCTAAGAACCTCAATGAAACTTTTCTACCAAATGTTGCCAATGGCATCAAGGATGCCAGTAAGATCACAATAGGCATCATTGGAAGTGGAGACTTTGCAAAGTCATTGACCATTAGGCTTATCAGATGTGGGTACCACGTGGTTGTAGGAAGCAGAAACCCTAAACTTGCTGCAGAGTTCTTTCCCCATGTGGTTGATGTCACTCACCATGAAGATGCAGTAGCCAAAGCAAACATCATTTTTGTAGCCATTCACAGGGAACATTACGCCTCTTTGTGGGACCTCAAGCATCTACTCATTGGTAAAATTCTGGTTGATGTCAGCAACAATACAAGAGTAGACCAATATCCAGATTCCAATGCAGAGTATTTGGCATCACTTTTCCCAGATTCCCTGGTTGTCAAAGGATTCAACGTTGTTTCAGCTTGGTCTCTACAGTTAGGACCAAAGGATGCCAGCAGACAGGTAAATTTTGTGTTTGTATTCATTTGATTTGTTTGTGAAGTAAAAAAGACAGGAACTGGCTGTAGGCAGACAGAACTCATGGGATTCACGTTGCTTGACTTAGTGTGTCTGAAGTGTTGGGTGTTTAATTTGAGTTGGAATAGCCAATAAAACTTTTGGAGTTCAGTTTATCCCCTGTTTATGTATAGAATAAATGGTTCAAGTTGTCCTCAGGGATGCCTGTATATCTTTAAAGATTGCAGAGGAAATGTAGGTACTAGCTTAGACTGAACAGCTGACCTTTAGATGACTACAGTAAGAAGAAAAGAATGGGGTTCTAATGTCTTCTGGAGGAAATACATTAATTTGTATTCTTGTGCTCGGTGCAAGGATGGAGGCAGCCTTTCCCAATATATTTTAGTTTAAATATTGGTTTGCATGGGGTGAGCTTTGAAAAAGATGCACAGAAATCTGAGATCCTGATCCCAGGGCTCAGGAGTCAGTTCTTCAAAAATGCTTGCATTGAGTGTAACGGCAAAGTGAATACAGCCCAGTATTCAGAATATCCCGAGATCATAAATCAGAGGAAACAGAAGGAGGCACATATGTTTCTAAGTGATCATTCGTTTGATCCAGGACTGCTTATGAACACCATGTTCCAATTCCTTCCCAGTATATTCCCCTAATCCATCCTGCATATAGAAAAGGCAGGTTTATGTTTTTCTGGCTTCCCTAAAGCGTTACACAGACGTGCAAGAACCCCGTCCTTCACAGCTTTGTGGACTCAGACATACACGAGAGCTGACTGGTGTAACGTAACTCCTGGAGATTGCTGAGTTTTCTGGCACTTCAGGCAGATAATAATGGAATGCAATCAATACAGAATTAGCATAATTTAAAAAAATAACCTCGCTGTACTATTTTTATCCCCGTTTAGAGTAGCACTCCACTATAAGTAATTGATTTCTGTCAAAACTTATCATGTTAGCTGTAATGCAGATTATCAGAAACCAGTTGTGGGCAAACTACCCCACTGTCGATTTTAAAGGGACTTTAAAGTACTTTCGAGTAGTGCTTTTCTTTTGCTATGGAGGAAATAAAAATGGTCTTTAGGAGGAGTTATTTGGCTGCTGTTTGTTTTATTTCTTTTTTTTTCCATAAGACATTCATTTTTTGTGGAAATCTGGATCATGAAGTGAAGCTTAAATTATTATATATGGATTAAACTGTTTTCTGTTTTGCATTCTGTTTGTGCTACAGCTGTTTTGGGGTCATCATTTAAGATGCCTGAATATTTGAGAGAGAAAAATTTCTGAAATTATTTTAATCATTGTTTGAGGTTCAATCCAATCCTATAGACATTTCAATATGGGGAATGAGACATTTTAATGTGTGGATTACCCTGACATCCCACAATCATCTTGTTGTTAACTTCAAGAAAATGCCAATTTTGTTTTCATTACTTTGTTCCTAAGTCAGTGTGCATATTTTCATCTTGGCTGGATTTGTGTACGGTTCCATTTTTAATTTCTATTTCTTATCTTGGTGCTATAATCTGGGATAGCGATGTACAATTTATAGCAGCAGTGCTGTGGTTTTGTCCTTGAGGCTTCTGGGGAGTTATTTTTTGTTTGTTTGTTCTGTTTCTGTTTTGTTTTGTTTGCCTTTTTCTAACCTTCAAGTCTTTTCCTGTGACTGCAATTCACCTGACTTTTCCAACAGGTCTATATATGCAGTAACAATGTTCAGGCTCGCCATCAAGTTACTGAGCTTGCCCGTCAGCTCGGTTTTATTCCTATTGATCTGGGGGCATTGTCATCTTCGAGGGAAATTGAAAACTTACCACTGCGACTGTTCACACTGTGGAAGGGGCCTGTGGTGTTGGCCATTAGCCTGGCAACGTTTTTCTTCATCTATTCCTTCATCAGAGATGTAATCCATCCATACGTCAGAAATCAACAGAGTGACTTTTACAAGATCCCCATTGAGATTGTGAACAAGACTCTGCCAATTGTTGCCATCACTTTGCTCTCCCTAGTGTATTTGTCAGGACTTATTGCAGCTGCTTATCAGCTTTACTACGGTACCAAGTATAGGCGGTTTCCCCCTTGGCTGGACAACTGGCTGCAGTGCCGAAAACAGCTTGGGCTACTCAGTTTTTTCTTTGCCACAGTGCATGTGGCATACAGCCTCTGCTTACCCATGAGGAGATCAGAGCGATATTTGTTCCTCAATATGGCGTATCAACAGGTAAGGCAATGTTTAGCTAAGTAAGCCAAAAATGGTTTGGTTGTACATGTGACCCATGAACACAAAAATTCATGTTTTCTGAATATGTTCCCCTGTTTTCAGTGGAAAATATTTATGGCTATCATATGCAGAGGTAGTGCTTAGTAGGAAGGGACAGTAAAAGAAATATCTGCTGATTGTTCTCATCTCGGTCAGGCTGCATTCAAGTTTGTGTAGTAGGAGGAATCAAGGAGGTGTTCTGCTTAAATCCCTGGCAGTAACATACACAAGGAGAATGTAGATTAGACAGGATAAGAGCAACACCACAGGAAACTTCTGAGTTTCTCAGGTAAGTTCTTCACTGAGTATTTTTAATACAAGGCAGATGTATGTATATCATAAGAGCATTTACAAGTGTGAAGAAGTACTAAGGGCAGATGCTGTAATAATATTCACAGATACATTTATATTCATAAGATAAAAATTCTGTTACTTTGTAACTTTTTGGATCAATGGTACACATACTTTATTTGTTAGAAATTCTGTGAACTGTATCTATTACGAGCAATAGAGATTGACTGAATGTTCCCAGGAGCAATTGGTCTTGCATAATCCTGAAATAATCTCTAACAAATCTCTCATCCTTTAGAATCCACAGTGTTTTAGTTTGTTACATCATTTAGAAATAGTTGTGGATTCACCCAGTTTATGTTACAGGATATAGGTTTCCAACATATGAAGAACATAATTCCTTTTCTACACTTTAGTAGAATGTTCAGATTTATCTCTTTTTATAAGATAATTGTTATTAATAGTATATAATGTTACATTTTCTTTTACCAACTTGTCTAAGTTTTCCTGGTTAACATATTTTTAATCTAACAGAACCCAATATCAGCAGTAAGGAAATAGTTTGTTGGTTGGTTTGTTTGTTTGTTTTTCCTCCAACACAGGACAAAACCTCTGAAATATTTGACCCCATTTTATAGAGACTTCTGTTGATACTTCTGCTGTTCTGGAGAATAAAGTGTTTCCTTTCTACTCCTTCATCAGGTTCATGCAAATGTTGAAAATTCTTGGAATGAGGAAGAAGTGTGGCGAATTGAAATGTATATCTCCTTTGGAATAATGAGTCTCGGATTGCTTTCTTTGCTGGCAGTAACTTCCATCCCTTCAGTAAATAGTGCCTTAAACTGGAGGGAGTTCAGTTTTATTCAGGTGTGTTACCTTCTAAATAAGAGGTTTTTTGTTGTTAGTTGTAACTAACTCCTTTTAATGATTGTTATTATTATGAAAAGCACTTTGCGACATAATAGTGTGTTGGTTTTCCTATCAGTTAAGTTAATAAAAACAATATAAAAGCTGAGTTTAGACTTAGCAAATTATTAACGTACACAACATAGGCTATTTTCTAGCATTGTTCCAGTAGAACAAGCTCCTGAATAGCATTGCCCCTACGTACAGTGATTCAAACAGACCTCTACCACGGTGTTTCTAATACTGTAGACAATCATCAGTTGTGAATGTTGTTGCCCAGAAATCATGTCTGTCTCTGATTTTCCAAATTGTTTTGGAGATGCCTCCATCTTACCTAGCCTGATTTCACAATGCAGGTGGCAGCAGCTCCAAAAATTCCAGCCTGCTTGATCAAGGGAAACAGACTTCAAGAGGAGAAGTAGTGCAGGCTCAGAGTATGAATTCCTTCACAGTATGAATTTTGAAGAAGTGGGGGGGATATGAAGGTTGAGCAGTGATGCAGAAGGAAGGAACTGTATCTGCCCTACCAGGACCTAAGATAGACAAAACAAATACCTGATTACCTCTTCATGATTCAGAGAGAAAACACACACAAAATCCAGACAGAAGAAGCACAGAACCAGACAGTGATAAAGAGTGTGCTCAGTAGGAGATCCTAGGTGATGGAAACTTAGTATGAAATTCTGCAGGTATCTTAGCATGACCCAGAGTAGGTGCTAACTGAAGAAAGAAGCTGTGGCAACTAAACTAATGCATTCGTTTTCTTAACTCCTCTTCAGCACTCATCTTTTTCTCCTCTAAATATATTTGGATAGTGAAAAAAGATAGATGTGAAATAAAAGAGAATTCATATTTTATCAGAGCAGACAGAATAGCTTGGCTAAATCAATATATTGCAAACAGAAAAGGACATTTTTTGAAACCAGTCCTGAAGTGTTCATATAAAATACATGGAAATGGAAAATGTCAGCAAGCAGTGCTGCACCTGGTCTTTCAGTTTTCAGGGAGTTTATCAGTTAAATTAGCATTATGTAACATAGGCATAAATAACCACTGCTTTTGTTTTCCAGTCCAAGGGTTCACACCAAAAGCAAACCACTCAAAGTGGCAATGGACAGAACAGATCGGCTTTGAAAGCTTACCTTTCTTAGTAAAAATGAGCACAAGTCAACCATTTAGGATGGTTGGAAGTAGGAAGCTTATTTTTTTGCAGACGTTCCTTTTGTTTGCTAGCACAACTCTATAAAATTTTCTGGGGCGATTATTACTAAAACCTTTCTTGCCCAAACGCTTCAAGGAAGAGCTGCTCTGCCTTGTTTCCCCCACTAGAACAGAATACTTTTCCCCCAGAATAAAGTATGAGGTGTAGATATTTAGCAAGTTTATGAGTAAGATTCCAGTCAGAATTGCTACAGGCAGTTAATAAGTTTAGCAATATCCTCTTCTTGGGAGAATTTGAGGTATACCTCGCATAAACACAGGCTTTGAAAAATGCCTGTTCTATGTATGCATTGTTAGGAGTTACTCAACCATTGTGAAGGTAAAAATCCCTGAAGCAGATCTGTTTCACAGCACATTTCTGTCTCCGTATATGTACATCTTCTTGGTAATATTTTACAGATTTTTCTCCTACATCTTTTCTACTCCTTTAGCACTTTGTTTTCTGTGTTGTTTTTTCCCCCCAATAATGCCAGTTTGTCCAATTTATCAGTAGCCTTGGCTGTGAATCCTGTACACTGGCTAAAAAAATAACTTTGATCAGGAAGGAAAAGAAACAAAATAGAGACGACTGACAAAAAAGACAAAAGAACTGGCAAGTCCATTGGAAACATGCTAATCTATTACTCAGCTTCCAGGAAACACAATTCAGTGGAAGATTAGGAAGCAAGGCAACCAATGTTCTTCCCTTCTTCTCAGCAGCCTTTCTAGTGCCTCCAGAGAGGCAAGGGGTTCTCAGCATTTACAACTAATATTGCTACACACTCACGCACCAGTATGAAGTTACTAGTCACCAAAAAGTATTCCTTCTTGCTGCTTTCAAGCAGTCCTCTGCTCTTATAACATCAGCATGCTGTGCCTCTCCCGGTCTCTCTTTGGTAACATCAGTGTAATTGATCTTTGAGCTCTTGTAGCCATGTTCATCCCTTTCTTTTTACATCTTAAGAAGTAAGGAAAAGATGACAGAATTCCAGTATGTATTCTGTCTAAGGCACAACTACATTTGAGATCTGTTGTCTTTAATCCCTGCATTCCCTCCTCCATGTTGTCCAGTCATAAACCTCTGCAGAAGGAAGTAGCCTTGTAAACCTGAGTGACAGCTGCTCTCCTTTTCACCTTCTGAGAATTAAACAGATTGCTTTCTAGGAGTTAATAGCTTCCACAGCGCAGTCATCATTTATTGCTCAGTTGAAACATCTTTTCTGTTAGCATCTATACGGATGGGCAGCTTTGGCTTTCCAAGGCTACCACTGGTCAATATTTGTCCTATGATCCAGTGCTGCCAACCAGTTTTATTTTACTGTTCCGCTACCCATCAGTGCCTTTTTCTGCACTAGTTGCTGTCTTTTTGTCCAAGCCCACTTCAATCAGTTCTTCTGAGTTTCCTCATTTCATTACTGCTCATTGCTGTAACACTGCAGTTGCAGGCACTGCTCTAGTCTTTGAGCAGATACAGGCAAAATCAAGTGCGTCGTCCTTATAACAAACACAAGTGTTGTACTGACACAGCCTCTTGCAGTAAGTTTTTACTTAAGTAGCCAAGGCAGCCAGTCTTGCCTGTTCTTCTGGAAAAGTCATTGTCAGTAACTGCAAGCTGGGAAAGATGACATTTCTTAATGGGAATTTCTAGTGCAGATCCGCCCTAAATAAACAAATGAACAGAAACCCTGCAGAACACTAAGTTGTGTGGAGAACATTCCTCTTTCTCGCTAAGCAATGTTGTTACTGTCAAAAGTACAGCACTGAAATGCAACAACAGAGGCAATTAAGAGCCTAGTGGAAGAAAACACTGCCAGTAGCTGACAAACTCCTTTAAGACTGTCTTTGGAGCCATATTATTACATCCATATTATTACATGAGTCGTTGAAATAGACCTAGTACATACTACTAGCCCGTGCCCTGCCAACACTTCAAAGAAGCATACAACAACTTTACACAGGGAAAAAAAGAACTGAAGAGAGTCTCTATGCATCACATTTTTTTCTCGTCCTTATACTGTTAGTTCTTAATGTTTGTATCAGTACTTGCTAGCTTCCATTTTGACCATTATATACAAAAGCATACGTAGATGTGTCAAAACTAGTTTGTAGATGGAGTTTAAAAAAGCATTAAAATGATTTTGAAAATTCTGGGAAGAGCTTGTACAGCATTTCCCTCCTGATTCTTTTTCAAGAATTGTTGCAGTTCTCATCAGAAAACCTGATGAAGAAATGGGGGATATGATTCATTCGTGCCTTTTTCCCTGCTGGCAGTGATATAAAAGCAATGACTGCAGGACAGCCACACCACCAAAAATCTGCAATAATTTATCAGACATCAGGGTTGGTAGTATTGTTCACAGTCTAAATTTCTTACCAGAATTTCTGTTCAGATGCTGCATTTGCCATTTTAGTATCCATGAATGATCATCTTGGATTGTTTCATTTCTTACAGAATCGTTCTTCTTAAAGAAACTTAAATGCGGCAGCATATCTAAAACCTAGGTGGCTCTGATACGTCTCCACATTGGCAAAAATAATGGATAAATATTGGCAAGTTAAAAAACATGGTAGCAATCTGCAGAAATTAATTAAAGTATTTCTCCTTTTATGCCAGTTAATCCTTGCAAATGGTATTAGCTCAGACATTCTCCTTTCCCTAGAAACTGGTTAATCTTGATGCAGAAAAAATTCTTTTGCTATTGTAGACCCTAATAGTCCTTTTACCATGGTTTGGAAAAGTCAATTTATTAACTCAACTCTGCAGATCAGTGGCATTTAAAAGGGCAGATTCACAGAAACTGTGAATGACCCCCCCAGAAGAATGACTTGGGTTAAGTGATAAGAGGTCCTCTGCAGGGTGCTGTGCAAACCTTCTACTTGCCATTTAATCCAGCACTACCCGTTTAAGAACTGCACGGTTGCCTTGTGCCATTCTGCCCAAATCCCGTAGTCCCAATATTCCCATTAACTAGTGGGTAGCAAAAGGTAAGGGATGGTTTATGCAAAGTTCAAACTTGTGGATATAGATCATAGTGAGGAAGAAGCAAATGGCACTTCTTGAAGCAATAAAACTTTGGATCAATAAACCCGGATCTCTTCCAACAGAGTTGCACTGTTCCATAATAAGCATGAATCTTGTTGCCATCTAACCTCATAGGTGAGAAATAGGAAAATTGCAAATCCAACTGAGGTTGTTCTGGTAATTTCGCTGAGATTATTCCTTATTTATCTACGTGTCTTGTAATTGACTTTCATTACTTACAATTTGGACAAAGATTATTTTCATTCAATTTTGACTGCAGCCTATAGATTCTAGTGTTTTAAATCAGTGCTCGATTCAGTTCTTAGTTGGACATGTGAACTTAAAACCACATAGTGCTAATTTAAAATAGCGCATAGTGCATTAACACAATGTCTAATAGAAATATTAAAATCATGGGTTAGAAGTGTCTGATGAAGGACCAAGTGCTATTATCTCATCTTTTTTCCCCATTTTCTCTTTTTTTTTTCAAAGTCTACGCTTGGATATGTTGCTCTGATCATAAGTACTTTCCACGTACTGATTTATGGATGGAAGAGAGCTTTTGAAGAAGAGTATTACAGATTTTATACACCACCAAATTTTGTTCTTGCCCTTGTTCTGCCCTCCATTGTAATTCTAGGTAAGATCATTTTACTTTTGCCGTGTGTAAGTAGGAAACTAAGGAGAATTAGAAGAGGATGGGAGAAAAGCCATGTTATAGAAGAAGCAAGTGGGTCTGCTCCACATCTCTCCCCAGAAAGGATAACTGTGATGTGATGGTAGACTATTATTTGTTACTACTGTTGCAGGTGTTTGTTTTTTTGTTTGTTGTTCTTTTGTCATAAACTTGTATTTTCAGGAGTTTATGTAATGTCTGAGTAAAGTCACTGTGGACTTGCTTGGCATACAGTACAAGCTCTCAAAAAAACTATAAGACATTTGTAATTAGGAAACTGCTCCTTCAGATAACTACAAATACTTTATTTTGAATTACAGAGGGAAGATAATTATGAAATCAGAACATTTTAACGCATCTTTGCACAGTTGTATCATGGCAGTATTTCATTATAACCATACTTTTGAGATATTTCTTTGACTCAGAGCATGTGTCAGAGTGTTATTTATTAATACCACATTTTTCTGGGCAGTGTTTCTTTTATTTAAACCACACTTCTGTGTTAGGGAGTTCAACATATGGGCTAATAGAGTTAGTAATTTAGGAAATAATCAGGTTTTGAAGCAAGTGAAATTAATTTGTAATGAAGTATTGCACATATTTATTTGTGTGTGGTTTTACAACTTTCCATGATTTGAATATGCAAAACCAATTTCAATTATGGTTTAATTATACATCTTGTAAGCAAATGGTATTGTACTAACGTGGGTTTTTTTAAAAAGAATCACATAGAATTTTACTTCTTTATTTCTTTTATTCTTTATTTCTTTATTTCTGTGTGTCATACAATAAAAATTCAAAACATTCTTGTGTAAAAAAAACTTGCAAGTACACGTGCAAGCAACTAGTTTTTGATTTAAGAATGATTTTGAAATATCGGAAATAATACTGAGAGGTTTGCAAAAATAAAAGTCTGTTTTCACTTTGAAGCTCCAGTATGTTGCTACAACATGGAAGCATCACATTACTCATGCTCTGTGTTTCTACACTGGAGTTTCAGTAGTTACGCATGAATTTCCCAGAATCTGTCTTAAAATCTTACTATCTTTTTTGTGCAAATACAATCTTCTATTTTTATAAGAAAGTCTTACTTTTACACCAGATGTTTCTGGGATATGCATCAATTTTTAAGAAACAAAATTATTCTTAGACCTAAAAATGAAATTTTACCTCTGAAACTTGGCATTTCCATTTCCTGTGAGATTCAGAAGAACATTCAAAATTGTTTATTACCACTGCTTGCCTGGTTTTATTCTTAACAAAATAGCCAAACCCAACTCATGTACCTTCAGGCTACCCCTACTTATTTAGGAAAATATTTATTTTAATGAATGAGAATAGGTCCAAATATTCCTTAGATATATGGAATTATATTTTTCATATCTATTTTTGCACTATTTAGGATCTCTGACTTTCTTAGCTGAAACTTCACTTACTATTTCCAAGAAATTGTCATTAGTATATGATGCCTGTCAGAAATACACAGTACTTAAGTTGAATATATCCTTAAACGTTATTAGTCCTGTAAATCTGAGTACCTCTGTAATGAAACCAACAGCTCCACAGAACAAATAAAATCTAAAATCAAATTCTGCTCCCAGTTACACCAGCCTAAATCTGAAGAGTTTTTGTTAGTTGTTCATAATTTCAATTCAAACTCAAAAATCTACTACAATTTTATTTTAATTGTAGTATTTGTATTCCCCAAATGTCAAGCCTATGTTATATTTTGGGTTTGTTGCAAATTAAAAAGCAGCTAGATTATTTTTTTTTTCCAATTTCAAGTACATTCAATTCCAACGCTGCAATGAAATTTTCACACTGAATATATTTGCATGCTTTTTTTTTCCAGAATTAAAGCATTTATGTCTTTAAATGTTCTTTGTATGTAACATGTTGTCAGTAAATCTTTTTTCTCTTTGAAAATGGAGGTTTCTGAAAACATGTTTTGGAAAAAATAGAATTCAACCATATTTCATAGAATAGAACCATATTTCAATCATATTTCATAGAATCATAGAGTATTTTGGGTTGGAAGGGACCTTAAAGATCACCCCTTTCCACCCCCCCCCCCACCATGGGCAGTGACACACACCATCAGACCAGGCTGCCCAAAGCCCCATGCAGCCTGGCCTTTGACCACTTCCAGGGATGGGGCATCCACAGCTTCTCTGGGCAGCCTGTGCCAGGGCCTCACCACCCTCTGAGTGAAGAATTTCTTTCCTAATATCTAATCTAAATCTTCCCTGTTTTAGTTTCAAACTATTACTCCTTGTAATCGCTGCACTCCCTGATAAAGAGTCCCTCTCCTGCTTCCTTGTAGGGCTCCTAGTGATTGTAGTGATTTTCATGTTGGTCAGCAGAAACATGAGAGTTGCAGGGGATCAGGAACAGAAAGAGAAAATTATTTTTTTTTCACCTAGTTTTGAAAAGTAAGCTAGTGGTTAGACAAGGGCCCATTGAGACTTTTCTCCAGTAGCAGACTAGTGGCAGATTCTTCCAAAAAGAGCATCTGTCCAGTGATTTATCCTCAAACATAACCCCTCAGCACCTTGGAAGTCAATGATTTAGGGCTTCTTTGGGACAGATACTGCCTCTGGACTATTGTATTGTACTTCCTCCAAAACTTAGAAATTATAAACTTTGAAACTTTCCCATTTTTTTTCTGGAAGGAAAAGATGGAAGAGAAAAAGAAATACATTAAAAAAAAAAAGTTTAATAAACCTATCAATAAACCCATCAAATTAATTTTAAAAAAAATGTGTATTCTTTCTCTGTTCTTAAAAAAATGAGCAGATAATTTCAAAGCAATAACCTTATTTTCCCTTTCCCAATATGCAGCTATTTCAGTGATAAATGTGGTGATGCACAAACCCAATACTATTTTATCAAACAGTCTGGATACTAAACAAAATATCTGTTATTGTTGCATATAGACAGGAGCCTAAGCTAGTAGATATCCAATAAAATGAAGCACAAGTGATGGTTGCAACTGCTAATTTTGCCTCTGCGTAAATACACTCCAATACAGAAAGCTGTATATTTTCAAAAGGCTTGCAACGCTTCCTGTAACAGAATTTTCTAGCTTCTTATTCCATTATTTCTGACAGAAACTACACAAAGCTTAGGCATTTGTGCTCCAGTTCTTTAAATAAAATTAATTAAAGAATTAGCATAAATAGTTCCACTGATATAACTATTCTCGTGGTTATACTAAGTCACACACATAGGTGTTTGCAGGAATATTTGCTTGTGAGCTGTCTGGAAAGGATTTAATCTTCACACCCGTGGTATTGTTTGTGTAAAACTATTTCAAGTCCTTGATATTAATTTCATGCTAGAGAAAACAGCGTGTGAATAATATTAAAATACACAAAGTCTTGGAGTATTTTAATGAGATAAATTCCATGCTACGTTCTGTCCCAGTATGGTGCCTGTGCGTGAAACCTCATTAAAACTACGGGAATTGGACAGTGTAACTGAAAGCAGAATTTCATACCTATGAACAAATTTAGGGTGGAAACCATTGCTGTTGACAAGCTGATTACATTTCATCATTATGTATGCTGCTATTATTTTTATATTAATTCAACTTATGTAGAGTAATTAACATTCATCTTGCCTATAATTACCTAATTCTTGTTTGATGCAACAGCGATAGTGTTGCAGAAGAAAGATGCTGTAATATTTGAGCATTACTGTCTAAGTCATGCATTGTAACGGATCATGCAGCCACTCGTGGTGTATACAGAAATGTATTTGCCCTCTTCCTATGCAAAGTTATTTCATCATTAAACTTCTTCAAGAATGTTAAACTGTTAAATTTTGAACTGCCAAAGGTGTCCAGCGGGAATAGTGGTGTGTTGTTTATTCCTCAAACTGCGTGTATTGAAAGTCAAACATGTGGTTTAATTTTATAAGTTACTTGAAAAGTTGAAATACTGAAGTATTAATAAATATATGATATTTTTAGATAAAATATATGAATACATTTTGTGAAATATTTGTGCTATTAAATAATGTATGGTTTCCAGTTAGGCCATGTATTTACTTCTAACTGGAATGATGACTTGTTTAATCTCATGTAGTGTGCTTTATTTTAAGGACCAATTCACTCTAACAAGACACTGTAAGTCTGAAAATAAAATGACACTCATGCATTTATTACACATTCTGTATCATACCATGTATATGTTTAGTCACATAAGGAATCTTTATTCATGTGATCAAACCCATTGGTTTCTATAGGAGAACCTGAATAAGGACTTCTCATGGGAGTGAGACCTGAGGCTAAAAGTTTGGTTTCAATTGCCTAAATATATGAAAATAAATGAATTTAGATTTTTTAGTTATTTAGGAGAATAAATATGTATTTTGAGGAATAGCTTGCTATGTATATTTTTTGGTAAAATTATATAAAGTGTTTACTGGTTGTGGGGATGTCCTGCCTAATGTGAAAACAACCTTCACTTCTATTACTGTTACATAAAAGCAAAATAGTGCTTGATACATAGTGCAGAACTTTACACATATTAGAAATTAGAAACCTCTGTGTATTTAGCAACAAGTTATTTGTTTTCTGTGGATGTGAAGGTATTTCTTCATAAGGCTGTTTCAAATACAGTTCCATTCCAGATTCCGTATTTGTCTTTAATTTTATTTTACAATTCTATTAATGGTGGCAACTATGTACAAGTTAATTAGGTCCTCATGTTCTTGAATTATTCAGAGATTAATTATTTTGAAATTCCATTTTGCAAGTTCTTTGCTTATCTAGCTTGCGGTAATGGTTATTGTGAATTGGTGCCACATTTAATGTTTTGTTCTAACATTGTGCATAATATGATGTGCCAACATGACATTTGCATTTTTACTTAGCATTAATTGGCTATAAAATATTGTGTGTCTATGTATGTAATTAGCTATACATGCTGCCCAACTTGCACTAAGAAAAATTACTGTTTAATATAAGGCAATGAGTTCCCATGTGGATATAAATTTCACATACGACTATAGCTAGGAAACAGCTTTCCTCTGAATGTGATAAAATCAAAGTTATATATAAATGCATAAAGATTAGATAGATTGAGTTTTAAGTATATTTTCAATGGTAGCAATATGCAGTGGTAGTAGTTACATATGCATAGTTCCTTTCAGATATACGTCTCCTAATGCACACATTTTTGATTTCTTGGATGTTCATCCTGTAGTATTTTCTATAAATGTAATAAGTAAAGTTGCAGTACTGATACTGTATCATTATATGATACTGCGTGAATTAACTAGATTGCAGTCTTTAAAACAAGTAACACATTGAACTGACTTGAACAACTTGTCATTGTATATTGTTTTTCATGCCTTGCTGGCAGTGTCTTGCAGTGAACGTAGTTTGTCTTCCATATGCAGTCTTTTCCTGGTATTCTGTTTGTAGTCATTTGTCAATTTGTTTGTGCTGTCTCTCTGAACAGGGCTATTATAAATTATTAGTAATGCTTTTACCTATTTTTCCATAGACTCTGTTTTTCACAAAAAATCAATAAAAAGTCAATGTCAGATATGTGGCTTTTTCTTCTGTGCTTATGCATAATAGACTTCACTTTGCTTTTCTTTGTAACACACATACTCTGATTAACATTTTCCCTGAGATGCAGAACTTCAATGCGAGTTCATAAAAAAAAATAATCGGAAGAGCAGATTCACAGAAATAAACTGGAGAACTGTTTCCCTTATTTCATTGTAATGTACTCTCCGTGTTTTCAGAACCCAAAGTAGACACTGCAGTACTACTACCAGTAAATATTAATCCACTAGTCATTCAATAAACATCTGTGGCAAAAGGGAGACTGCTGGGCACAAGTAAGGTGGAGACATTCTTCCTGTTTGGTTATGCCTTACTGTTTGTGAAAGCTTTACTGCTAAAATGAGAAAAACGGGTGAAGCACTTTGCAGTCCTTCACTTTGAAAGTATATGCCTTTTTTTTTTTTTTCCAAAAAGGCTTATGCCAACACAAGAGGAAAGAGGAAAAGGATACATACAAGGTGAAACTCTGCTTAACATAAACGGCAACATAAACCATTCTGAATTCAGTTGAGATGCAGAAGTCAGTGAAGAGTGCAGAAGCAGAATTCACATTTACATGTATTTCGTATTAAGTTACATAGCTTTCCAAGATCCCTGGACAAAGACACTCCCTAGAAGCAATGGAATTTAGATATGTTTTAAATTAAAAATATTTTATATATTTGCTATGCATGTCATAACAATAACTTTTTGGTCCTTGAAATCTGTCTTTTCTTAGATTCTTTAAATCTTTGCCTTGTTTCTGTGCATCATAGTGCTTGTTTTACTGTGTTGATACTATATTAGCAACTGGGAACCCCAGCTTACTTTTGTCCAACTGGTACTGTAGAAAAAAATAAGTTCTGTCTGCTGTGACTTACTGTGCTTCCTTTTAACAACAAAAATCAGCATGAAAGTCCCTGTCAAATCCCTAGCACACAGTGACCTAAGCACTGCATTGTCATGGTATAAGCAGGTAAATCCAGTTGTTGAAAGTTCTGTTGATTTCACAGGTTTAAGGTTGAGCGTTGCCAATTGATTTTCAGCTTTTTTTTTTTTCTCCAATGGTTATCAAACACAGGAGATCAGGAAGTACAGTACCACACTTTCCTGTTCCTGTGTGCCCCTTTCTCTTTCCCCATCCTACTGACCAAAACAAGAAATAAGATTGAAAAAGAAGTCATGGAGTCAGCAGACTGATTCTTAAACTCTGATTTCTATGCTATAAGGAGCTTAGTGTCATACTTGATACACAGTATAGATGGCTTTGTAAAATGTACACATTCAGTACAGCCAAGCAAAGGTTTGGCTAGGGCAGAAGACCCACACAGCAGACCCACACTTAATTTGTAAAACAGCAAATGAAGAGTAGGAGAGGAACACTCAGCAAAGTCAGCAGGAGATTAATGGCAGACCTAGATACAGAACCTTGATCTTCCAATGCACGGCTGTGCCCTACATGTTTGACTACACAGTCCTGTAGTTTTATATAATTCAACTTTACCTCAAGAATTAAAATTTACCGAAAGGTGTCTTCACAACAAAAGAATCTATCTTCAGTTAAAACGGAAATCTCTACATCAAGTCTACTTTTAAAATATATTTGTTAGCATTTGTAGGGCTTAGCAGCTAATATTTGTGAATTAATATTCTCAGAGGTAAGGTAATACAGCCTTCATGTCTTAAATATTATTTGTTCCCGGTGGAAGAGGTAGGTGTGATAAGAAACAATATAAACCAGTTGTTTGGGGCAGCAAACTTAAGTAAATATTTTCACAGTTGACTGCAGCTTTTTGAGGATGGACGTTTGCCAGTTTGCCAAGGGCAGCAGAATCCCTGTAGTCAAACTTGCACAGTGTAGCTGCCACACAAATTTCTAAAAGCTTCATTTATGAAGAAGGTGCACAGTGAGCAAATGAACCTTTGCAGTATGATCTTTGGAACACTCAGGCAACAAATGGGATGTGACCTAAGCTTATAATTTACAGACTATGTTGCCCAATTTAGATGTTCAGATACATTCTCTATACAAGTTTTGAATGACATTTGTCAATCAAAACACAAGCAACAGCTTAAAATGACTTGAGCCACAATAAATGTAAATTTTATGAGCTTAAAATTCATGAGCTTGAAAACTGGTTTAATGTATACAACATCAGCAAGTATCTGGGCATGAAGCAAGAAAAAAAATGTAAATCAGTTTGTTCAGCACTAACTGCTTGCAAACCTCTAAGCATTATCATTATGATTATTCTCAAATAATAAACAAACCTCTACAAACACTGTATCTGAAAATATACTCAAACAAGTATTTAAAAAGAACATGGAATGCAGATAGTAAAATGGATAAAGGAATAAAGATACATGTACATGGATGGATGAAAAGCATCAACCGGTAGCTCTGGGACTGGTTGTCACATTAGGTGAATGCACCATAGTGTACTACAGGTCCTGCCTTTGTATCACCTGTGTTGCTATGAATGCGACTCAGAAGGTTAAGGATGCCAAAACCAAAGTGGCCAGAGCATTTTTCAAATTCAGGTACCATTCTGTCACTCAAAAGATCACCCAGTTCCAACCCCCTGCCATGGGCAGGGACACCTCCCACCAGCCCAGGTTGCCCAAAGCCCCATCCAGCCTGGCCTTCAACACCCCCAGGGATGGGGCATCCACAGCTTCTCTGGGCAGCCTGCGCCAGGGCCTCACCACCCTCTGAGTGAAGAATTTCTTTCCTTATATCTAATCTAAATCTAACGTCTTTTACCTTAAAGCCATAATCCCTTGTCCTGTCACCACACTCCCTGACAAAGAGTCCCTCCCCAGCTTTCCTGTAGGCCCCCTTTAGGTACTGGCAGGCCGCTGTAAGCTCTCCCCGGAGCCTTCTCTTCTCCAGGCTGAACAACCCCAGCGCCCTTGGCCTGTCTTCATAGGAGAGGTGCTCCAGCCCTCTGATCATCTTCACGGCCCTCCTCTGTACTCACTCAAACAGGTCCACATCCTTCTCATATTAATTAATTAATTAAAATTCATATTAATTAATATGAAATTCTCAAAAAAAATACTCAAATCCTAGCAAGAGCAGCTGAACTGGGAATCTACCAGAACACCTGTGAGGACACCCAGTACGAGGCCATTGCCTTTTGCTGTTACTATCTGGGGACACACAGCTCTCCTCCTCCAGATGTATCGGCCCAGTGTGAAGGACGTGGCAATCTCAGACCAGTTGGGGTTGTTGGGCTCTGCCATGCTCCCATTTGGGAGAGAGCATCTCAGAGCACTAACACATGCCTGTTTCATGGGGTACACACACACCTGTTTCATATCCCATGGAAGCTATGAGCAAGTTGAAAATATTATGTTTAATATACATTATGTTTATGCTTCTGTCCACTTATGCTTCTGTCCCTTCTTTTATTACTTTCCAGGCGTCACCCATGTTTTGTACCAGTCTGTGCAGAGAAAAAGAGTCTTTTCCCCCTTTTCTCTACAGTGCGGCTACCCCAGAGCCACAGTTATCTACAGAGGTGTCTCATCGTGAAATGTGTCATGACCAAAAATCGGGGATCTGCCAGCCACTTCCCTCTAGCTGCCCAGCAAGAGTCTCTGCATTGTGTATGGACGGGGAAATGGTTTTCTCGCGGTCTAGGGCAGGACTCTGGAGTGCCACTAGCGGTGGGGTGGCAGCCCCGGCGGGTGCACCACAGGGCACTCAGCAGCCGGGTTGTCCCCACAGCGGGTCCCACTTCCCGCTGCAGGCTGCCGGAGCCCCGAGGTGCTCCAACCCCAGCCCCAGCCCGGCGTGGGTCGCCCACCGGCCGGGTCCCCACGGGCCTGGGCTCGGGCAGGCGGTGCCGCCCCGCTCCCATGGCAACAGCGCCGGTGCCGCGGGCGGGCGGCGGCAGCCGGGCTCCCCGTCCTCCATGTCCTCCCTGGCCGAGCCCCCCGCCTCACGGGCGCTGTCCCGCTCCCCGGCCCGCTCCCCGGCCCGCTCCCCAGCGCTGTCGCCGGCCCTCGGCCCCTCATCGCTGCGGCGGGGAGCGGCGCCAGGGAGCCCCGGACGGCGGAGGCCAGCCAGGTGAGCTCCCGGGCGCGCTGCCCTCATGGCGGCCCGGGCTGGGAGCGGGGCTGGGCGCCGCAGGCAGACGGGCTCTGCCCGGCCTTGGGGCGTTCCCTGTTGCATCAGCGTGGCACTCGCAGGTTTTAAGGTTTAAGCACTTTTTAAGGTGAGTCTAACGTGGCTGTTTTCTAGGAGACGCGGTCAGCGGATCTGAATCATGCCATCAGGCTACTCGGAGATTCTGACTCCGTAAGTGAGACCTCGTTATTTCTGTTTCACCAGCTGTAATGGGCTCAAAACAAACAAACAAACAAACAAACAAACAAACACAATTGCAGTTGTATCTATCCCAAATAAAGCCAGCTGCCACTGGTGGCTGCGGCTCCAAAGCACGAAGCTGAAGTATTTGTACTAGTCTTTGAACGCTTTTTAAAAAGATGCCCTCTTTAATAGGAAATGACATCTAAGAATTGAGTTTTGTGGGTGTTTTTGTTTATTTGTTTTGTTAAATATCCCCGTATGTCCTCACATGGGCACTTTTCCAAGACAAGACAAAAGTGTGTGCATTTATAAGCTAGATGTGCAATCTTGCTCATCTGGGAGTTTTATAGTGCTGAAACCCAGAGCTGAAAAATGGAAATACATACAGACTTATTCAAAGTATGACAGGAATTTATCAAATTGCCCAAGTTAACTGCTAACACTTCTCCAGGGAGATGATTTTAAAAGAAGGATAACTATACAATGTTCAGTATTCAAGAACAAATACGACTTCCTAGCCACACAGGAGAGCAGTATCTCATGGACTTCCACAGACTGGTGTTTGTCTCCACAAGAAGATTTGGCAGACTAAATTCACTAAGCCATTAGTCACTTTTGATCTAGAAACTTAATAATTTATATTCTTAGGAATTGTTTAAACATACCGCCTTCTAGTATTTTGTCCTGCAGAGAAATAGAGAACTAGTTCATGTCTTTTTTCTTTTTTTATTCCTTCTGAATAAGGAACACTCAGAATAAGTTTACAGACTGAAGAAAAATACTCTGCATGATATTGTTTATTGCTCCTCTAGACAGCATAGAATATCTGATGAAATGCCCTCAGGATTCTGGGCTTGTAGATTCCTGAAACAACTTTCTGGCCTGCCTCAATTTGCAGTGCTCTTGCCCAGTGTGGAGGTGCTTGGGAGAGCTGGAATGAACACAGATACCCTTGGCACACCCTGCAATATCCTTATGTCAGTTGTTTTGCAGACTTTTTCCTAGTGGTCATAGAGCTTCACTCTAATAACCTCAGATCTACATTTTTACACATTTATGTCATGTGTAACATAGGTATGATTTTCTTTGCAAGTTCTCACAGAAACCCAAAGAATTTAGTAGAAAAAGAGCTCACACATTTGAAAAAAAAGATGGAGTTTTTAAAAGTCTCTTTAGTTACATTTCTAAGTACTGCACTCTTGTGGCTTGATCAAGGGGCTAATCCTCCTGCAGAGCACTTTCAGAATTTCATTTGCGTCTTGTGACTTTTTAATCTGATTTCTACTTTCATTAAAACTTAAAAGGGGACTAATATAATCATTTCATGTTCTAAAGCAAACTGCAATTAAAATCTGCTTTCTGTTTTCGTATTTAAGAGCAATTTGGAAGAAAAACAGTTGAAAGTTCTCAAGAAGGTAGTCAAGCGTTTTGAAAATGGGCTTGTATCCTTTTTGACACAGTAGAATTCTAAAGTTGTGGTGTGTTATTGTTATGAATGATAATATTTTGACTTTTCAGCAAACCACTTTTAGGTCTGCTATGCTTCCACATGGAGAGCAGTGATAGTCCACGTGTTCTCATTATTGACCTTCTTATGCACACATAGCTGAGGTTGCTAGGTTAGCGAGATTCTTGGCTTCCAGATTTATTTGCTACAAAATTAAATAGAGGGATCTCACCTGTACTGTGGTTGGAGGTGTTCAAAACATAATTAGTGTACTTTCAACTCAGAATAGACATGCATAATAATTTTCATTACTTAAAAAGTAGAAGATGAAATAGCATTGACTTCCAATGAGTAGACGTTGTAAAGAAAAACAAAGGGTATTTTACCTGAAACATTTTTGTATTTACAGTAAAATTGAAAGAAGTAATGAGAAGTACTAGGGAAAATGTAGGTGTGTGGAAAGAGTGATTAATTTCATACATTTCAATTAATTGTCATAGTGATTTAAGCTATCACATTTCTTCTCAGTTGAGCTGTGGCTAAGCTCTTAAAGACAGTTTCCTTGAGTAAGTGCATTGGTAGTAACTTGGAAGTCTCAGTGACCAGTTAGTTTCAATCTTGTGCCTCTAAATTAGATAATATGTGTTCAGATCCAAACTTTCAATCTTTAGTACCCCAATTTAGCCACTTAGGATTTAAATGCCTCAGGGCCGTTTCAGATAGAATTTAGAAAGGTAAATCTATCACTGTGATATAAAAGCTTTCCATCTCTTATTTTTTTGGTACTCAGTGCTGAACAACCAGTGAGTTCAGCTGATGAGAAAGCTAAATAAGAGCTGCAAGAGTTCTGCTTCCTTAAAAGTAAGTTTGCTTCTGAAGGCCTAAGTATAGATTCATACACTTCATTTTAGTCATCTGACTTTGACAACATTGGCCTTGGTTGTATCTGTGGAGAATGATAACTACAGTTTTCAAGGTTTTCTTCTAATTTATAGCAATGCAATCTGATTTCCTTAACTTTAAATTAAAAGCCCCTTAAGGATTTAGCACAAATAATTGACATTCTTAACCTGTGTGCAGAAAAAGTAAATGAACAAGAAGCTTTCATCGAGCCTGTATGTGAACTTATTAAACTATGTGGGTAAGTATTTAAGCCCTTCTTTTAGAGATCTCAAACACTATTAATTAACATGTTCGTACATTTCTAAGGCAACTCACTGTATGGCACCTATATAGAAGGCATCTTTATCTGCAAGGCATCAGTTGTGTCATCCTTCCTTATTATGAACTGTTACCTTGAGTCCAATTTCTGTTGGCATGAAGGATCCAATTTAGGAATTGAGTATCTGTGCAGCCATGTATTACATCATGAAAAACTGTATTATAATTGGCTCCAGTGTGCTGGAAGCAAGATTCCCCAAGGTGTCTCATTGCCTAGAGTAACTTGTTCAGGGACTGCTGGCCCCAAGAGATTCAGCTGTTAAGTCTTGCTGTGGTGTGTTTTGCTGTTTCAAACAAGCTCTCTAAGTGAGTTTAAAATATTGACACTCTTCACCTGAAGGTAAACTTTATGAAATGACAAGCCATATTATATTGGAGAAGAGAAAGAATCATAACAGTTGGAGGATTTGGGATTTATAATTGCTTTACAAATGTATTGATTATTTTTTTTTGCATCTTTTTTTTTTCTGCATCTTTTTTTTCTTTTTGCATTGACATACTGTACTTTAAATTATTTGTAGATTAGAATTCAAGTGTTACACGTACTTGCCCATGGTTTTCTTCTTCTGAAGAGCTTAATAAAGTCACTTACGGGATTTTTGTAACTACAGTTACTTGTGTATTTAATTATAATTGGTGAGAACAAGGAAGAGAAAAATTATGCCAGACAGTAAATTTGTAACCCAGGTATTCAAATAGGATTTTACATTGCTTCATTTCAGCAGTTGGTTTTAATAAACATACAATTTCTGAGCTGAATCTTTTACTTTCTAGAGCAATTGTACTGCTTTCCTTTGCTGCCACACAGTGGAGAATGAGAAAGTACCTTATGAAATTTGTTTTTATTCTGTGTGGCAGAAACATGACAAAACTGAGAATGGGGATATAAAGTCAATAGAAGTAGTACTTGCATAGTGGTTCAGCAATTTTGGTTTATGCAATAAATATGTTTTGGAAGTTTGTGCCCTTGGGTTTAGCTTTAGTTTTTATATTATGGAAATTCTCCTACCATTCACTACTATTTCATATGACAAAGAGAAGCCTGTAACTAGAGGGAAGGGCTGTTATTTAAAAATTCCTTTCAGATACTAGAAGTCACATAGTAGAATTTTCCACTCTTTCGTAACTACTGCTGTTTGCTGTCTTCTTCCCACTTTTTTTTCAATGTCTGTTTCTTTTTTTGTTTTCCCTTTTTATTCCATTATTTGATCTCTCCTTTCTTTTTCTCTGGCTGTGTTTACAGAGGTAAACCAACCGGAAAGCTGTTTCTGCACTATGAGCAGCAGAGACCTTAGCATAACACGGCAATGTTTACTGTTAGAGAATTTTTAGTACCTACATGTTTATGCCATATCTGAATGTTTTGCAAATGTTATTGGATATTTCTTAATATCCTGTTTTTAAAAATGCATGCGTAATTGGACTATTTGGAGTCTGTTCATTGGTTTTATTTTCATCCATTTCTAGAGATCTTGTTCAGGGATTTGATCCTTTTTTCCATCTCTGCACATGTCTAATCACAGTGAGACTCTGGAATAACATGATAGTGCCTCAGTTCTAGGAGTCCATCCTCCACACTGAAATGACATTTGCTTGTTCAGGGTTTTTCTTATTGTACAGAACATGAATTACAGTACATATTCGCAGACAACTTCTCTATTTGCCAAAATGTAACTGCCAGATTATGGAACTGAACTTTCAGTGTAGAATCAACATTGTAAAGATGTATTTTCCCTGGGAAAAGTATTTATTTGCAAATCTATCTATCTATATATCTAGATAGATATATTATTATATTATAATATGAATATAAATATTAATATATAATATTAATATTATATTATATTATTATCTATCTATATATCTATATAGATAGATATATTTGCAAATAAATACTTTTATATATATAAAAATGTATATATATATATAAATGTGTATATATATATATATATAAATGTATATATATGTAAAGGCAGAAGAGAAAATCTGTTGAGCTTTTCTGGTGCATTACTGGAGAGAGTATTCTTCTGCAGTGTTTCAAGTATTATTTTAATGTTTTTTTTTGTAGGTTACCATTTCAAAAAAAGAAATTATCTGATGAAGTAAGCTATTCTGTGACAGTTTCAAAATCCATTGCACAGCTTGGTGAGTGTATACTGAGATGCCACAATGTAATAAAACTAACTGTATCTTTATCACAATTTTGATTGTTTGTTATTTTACTAGTAAGTGCAAGTAATTTCTTTCAATTACTTGGTCAGTACTTGGTACTTTTTAGTATTTAGAACCTGTTCTTATTTTGCTGTGCAGCTCACCCAGAAATTAGCTAGCAGAGTTACCTGTTTGCCAGTGTCAGAAGCTACGTGAGATAGTTTTAACAGTACAGCTGAAGAACTAAACCTGTGTGTAGCCTGTTTGATTTCATTTCACTCTGAGAAATGTGTGTATTGCTATAAACACTGGGATAAGGGGAATATATTTCCTTCATGCTTCTTTGAATCCAAATAGAAGAAACAAGTGAGAAAATTATAACTCTCGACTCCAAGCTTCAACATCTAAAAGCCTGAGATTTATCACTTACAAAGGCAAGATACAGCAAGTCAGTGTAGTGCCATGCCTTACTAGGAGCATCTTGCATTTGAGCCATCGTCTTCTGTTACTCAGGAATCCCTTTTAAGAGAGCTTTTGAGCAAAAGGTGTCTCAGTGTCACTGGATGTTGTAGTACCAAAATATCCTATGACCTTGATTGTGATATTTGTAATTTTCAAAGAAAATGCTGCAAGTGCTATAGGTCAAAAATGATAGAGAATGGAGTACCAGTGATCTGTTAGCTCACTTGTTGGAAAGATTTAAATAGAGGCATAACACAATCAGCTTGTCACAAGTGGAAAAATATTATCCGTGAAATGGGTGAGAAAAAAGTAATTCTCAAAAGTCTTCATTATCACAGGCACAGGTAGACGGCAGAATGGCCTCTCGGTTTCTGCTAGTTCCAGATTCTCTGTAGCCTGTCCAAAAAGACATTACAGTCTGAAAGATCATTTATATTATCCATGCTAGACCCTGGTAGGTCTCAAAGGCTCTCTTCTTATCTTGTGGAAAAGGAATTCTTTCTGTGCTCCCATTTTGTCATATCATATCTGCTAGAAGAAGAGTGCCTGACATGGTTATGATGACAGCAGCCTCGTGTAGTAGCTTTGTGCTGAGAGTACCTTCTGGAATAACATCCAGTCTCCTATAAGAATCTGTAGACATAAAGCAGAGGAGGTCACTTTTTGATAAACTGTTTGCTACTCCTCCGAGACCACTTTGTCCTATTGATTGTTAGAGTCCTTGTCCCTTGAGTGTTTTATAATCAATCTTCTCATGATGTAGAAAGATTTGTAAGGGGGTATGACCAAAGGAGACACTAAGTACTGTAATACAAGTGTTAGAATGAATTTCTAAAACAATTGTAAACTTTGTAATTTTTTTTCCTGTTTCTGATAGGTTATTTGATGAGGGTGCCAAGCTCTCAAGTTAGAATACAAATCTGTAAGTGTATAATTAGCTTTTACAAGGCGGAGCTACCGAGAAAACTACTCTCAGGTAAAGCACAATATTTATGAGTGTCAGAAGAAATCTGTTTAATAATCCTGGCTAGTTCGAAATGGCTTTTTAAATTGGATGCTTTTTTCTGTATAACTATAGTTACTGTATCTCAAATATTAAATACATTGGTAGGTGTACAATTCATATATTTTTATACACATAAGCACTCAAAATCTGAAATTATTTGTCAATGTGCGATGAATTAATTGTACTTATGGGACTAGGATTAAATAGTATCCAGAAAACGTGAAGCAGACACAGGTTCTCTGAAACATGGATAATGGAGGAAGAAAGAGTAATTAGAATCAGAGTTAAAAGAAAGGAAACTGGCAGGCTGTGACAAAGCGAGAGCTCTCAAAACCTTCCTATCAAACCTCAAACTTGGACCTGTCATTTTCTGGATGGCCAGTTTCCTGCCAGCCCACCTATTAGGTCATTAGAGATTGGAGGGTATGTCCCTTCTAGGCCCTGGGTAGACTACCAGAGGGGCAGTGTCTAGCATCAAATGAACCTAGCTGCTCATTTTTGAAGCAGTAAGGACCTAGTGTCAGAAACTGGTTTTGTTATTTGAGCCAGGTTCTACTGACTGCATATGATTGACTCCAAGCCTGGACAGATATTCTCTCCACTTGAATATGTCTTTTACCAGAGCATAACAATCAATTAACAATCAATTAACAATCGACCTCATCGCAGTCTACAACTTCCTAGTAAGGGGGTGTTGAGAGGCAGGAGACCTTTTCTCCATTAACACCAGCGACAGGACCCGCGGGAACGGGGTTAAGCTGAGGCAGGGGAAGTTTAGGCTTGACATCAGGAGGGGGTTCTTCACAGAGAGGGTGGTTGCACACTGGAACAGGCTCCCCAGGGAAGTGGTCACTGCACCGAGCCTGATTGAATTTAAGAAGAGATTGGACTGTGCACTTAGTCACATGGTCTGAACTTTCGGGTAGACCTATGCGGTGTCAAGAGTTGGACTTGATGATCCTTAAGGGTCCCTTCCAACTCAGGATATTCTATGATTCTATGATAATTTTCAATCATGTGTGTGTAGCCTGGAGAGCAACAACTCTGGTTTAACTCGTGTTGCTTTTGAGGTGATCTGCACCCATCTAAATTTGATCATATTCATGTTATATGGAAACATTTGAGCATAGGCTCTGAATAAATTATGGGACATATATTTGGAGAAAGAAACTGATAATGTGGGCAGATGAGCTCAAGCACGATCCTGTGATACTATGGAAAGGCGTACAAACTCTCATCAGAATCCACTAGTATTTATTCCTCTTAGAGGGGCACAAAATCACATGCTGCAAGACAATACTAGGCTTATAGACAGCCAAGCTACAGTTGAGCTTTGGCACAGTGTGGATTCAGAGCGCAGCTGAGGTAGCATGCTGGACTTTAATATGCTCCCTTGCTGTGTTCCTACAGTGTGGCATTAGCTCCTGTGCCCTCTTGCTAGTTTGCTAGTTTTTATTTATTTTGGGAGTCCTAAAGAAGCTTCTGCTACAACAGTCCTCTCAAGATTCTAGAAATACAAAAACATATAGACTTGGTTTTCCCTTACAAGAGGGACTCCAAGTTCTATGAGCACTTACGTGTGCATTTAGTTGTAAATCATTCCAACAATGTAATTGAATATTAAACACTGAGAGATGTTATTCTGCAGATTTAGAAAACAGGATGTGCTATCTCAAAAATAATAATTAAATATATGTGTATATATCTCAGTCTGATTTATTTTTATTTTTTTTTAATGAAATTCTTCATCTCTGAGTATATTTGAAATCATGCCAAAGTTTGGTCCTGCAAGATGCTGAGCGTTTGGGTCTGATGCAGCCAAATCCAAATCACCTTCTTAACCTCAAGCATCTGGGAAGCCTACAACTCAAATAGTTATTACTTTCCTTGGTATTTTGCACCTCTGAGGGCTGATTTCACAGTCATTCACAGGGTCTGAGTTATTACAGGCAGTTTCACCATTACAAGAGCTCACCATGGGACCCAGGATTGCTTGGAATAAAGGAGTCATGTAAGGTGTTTAAAAATAGTAACCACAGAAGAATTCTAATAAATCATATAAAGTTGTTGTTTTGCTGGAAAACATGAGTATAGAATAGGAACATAAGAATGACCATGTGAAGGTAAATAAACGTGGGATATGACAGAGCAGGTGATAAGAATATAAGAAGAACACAAGCAAACACACCATGATATTTTCTCACAGTATATTATCCCATTTTCAAAGTCTCTGTTTTAGAGGATTCCTGAATTAGGATTTCTTTTATTCTTAACCTTGGTGGGTTTTATTCTTAACACACCTTGATCTCACCTCTTCTGTGAGATTTTCTAACTGTTTTCATATCTATTTACATCTCCACTATTCATACAGTTGTGAAAAAGTTGTTTTCACAATTTAGCAACTGGAAAATACTTTCTTTCTATTTGTTTTAAATCTGTTGATTTTGAATGATATTATCTGCTAGTCATCTTGTAAGCAACAGGCAAAAATATTCTTTACTGATCTTCTTTGTGCCGTTTTTCATTTTATGTCTCTCCTATCCTCTCTTAATCACCTCTTTTCCAGGTCTAAAAGCCAGATCAGTTTGAACTTGTTAGTGTGTAAGCTTTTCAAAGCTTCTAATAATACTTGTAGCAAAAACTTGCTACCTGTAGTGTTTGTTTTTTTTTTTTTAAAGGTCTGCTCTGTCTTTTGAGATGTGGGAGGCTGGAATTGCTGTCTACTAGATGGCATGCCAGGCACTGTCTCAGTGCTATTCTGTTTTATTTGCTGTACTTTTTAACAATTCTTAATATTTCCTTTGATCTTTTTACCATCCCCCAGAAACTGAGATGATGATTTCCTAGAGCAGTCCATAAAGTTTTATTACCTGTAAAATTATACCAATTTAGAACCCATGAGAGTTTATGCTTAATTAAAACTGCCTTTCATCACGTGCATTATTTGCATTTATCAGTTCTACATTTCTTATCATCTGCTATTTATATAAGCTATTTAAGATAAACTTTACATTCAGAAGTTAGCATATATAAATTTATTTTCTTGATGCTTTGCCTTCCTCCATAATTTAGTAATGAAATATGGATTTGCATTTGCATGGACAAAATGTCAAAACAGGGATGCATCAGAAATTCAGGCTTTTAAATCAAAGGTTGGATTCATGTATTTTAAGTAACATCATAATAGAAAGCATTAATTCTCTAGTGAATAGGCTATGGGAAATAACTATGTCCTGCACATTGCATGACCTGAATAAGGAATTTCACCTAGTGAAGTATGCCTACTTCACTTTCACTTTGCTAATTCTAGAAAGCAGTCTATGTGTTTATATAGCATTTTAGTCTTCCAGTGGGGTAAGTCTATTGGATACGGTTTAGGCACTATTAATACTCCTATATAAGAAAAGTAGCTCCTGTTTATTAGATTTTTTTTTTCCATTGGTTTTATATCTAAGGAAATACGATACTTCCATCTTAATCTTTTTTGATAACAAATTTATGAGTAAAATTCAGAATTTACTGCATTATAACTAAAGCTATTCTATGTGCAGGTTACCAGCCAACAAGCGCAAACTATAAGACTGAGATGGCTGAATTAGGAGGATTAGCAGAAACTTTTGTTTTATCTCTAGCAATAGTTGAAAATGAACTTACTGAGAAGTTGTGGGTACTCAAAGTTCTCCAGCATCTCTCCAGCTCTGGTTAGTACAAACAGTTCTTTCAACAATCTCACTACCTCTGATCTTAAATCATTTGTTCTCTGAACATACCTAAAACAATTAGTAACCTACATAGAATTAATTATTCAGATTTTCATGATTTCAGGAGTAAATTGCAGACACATGTTGAAGGCCCAAGCAGCCAGCAGACTCTGCTTGTATCTAAATGATGTTGATCCCTCAGGACAGCTGGTGTTCCGCTCATCAGAAATCCTATGGAACCTGTTAGAAAACACCTCAAAAGAAGAAGTCGTTAATCAGCTCAGTAGCTTGGAATGTGTACAGTAAGTACATTGAAGCATCTTATGAATTAGCATTTTGTTTCTGGAGACAACCAAAGCATTTCTGTTGTGTTGTATTTTGTTTTAAATAAATTGAGAGAAAATACAAAAGGGGAGTGAAGGTCTGCCATTAAGTCCTCATTAAGTTTTCAGTGTTGCACATCTGCTTCTCCAAAATTAAAGTACTGCAGAATCAGTCATTATAGCCAAGCAGCACATGATTTAGACCCCTTAAGCATCTGTTTCTGTTTCACTAAGTTAGATAACACTGTTGCCTATGAAATGCCAGGAAATTATATATGATAGGAGAAGTGCCTGCTGGGTAGCTTACAAACTCTGTGGTCAGAGTCCTTCTGAAAGCCCATCCAGTAAACTCTGAAAGTATTTCATTGTCAAACCTGACTTTATTCCATAAACCACTGTGATCTACCACCAGTTGTTTCTGTTACAGGGCAAGAGGGAGGTCAAGAGACCTGTGGTGTGGTGCATATGTGCAAGAGATATAGGCCGAACTTTTGCTTGATGAAAAACTAATGGCACCATTTTCAAGCTCATGTGTTAGGCCCAGTGGGTCAATATTACTGCACCATTGAAATGCATATAGTATAAAATTAGTAGGAAAGTGTGTGTTATGAAATACAAGGCTTAGTTCTTGATCATCTGCTGGGGTTGGTAGTGGGTTCTCCCTTAGTGAGTGTTTCCACTACTTGGTACTAGGCCACCTCTTCTCAATAATCATTCAACAGCAGCCAGTTCCTTGTTTGAGAAAATATTAATTTACTTTCAATTTATTCATTATAACACATACACTAGAAGATGTGGCTGGTAATACATGCACCTTGCATGTATCCTTAAGTTGAATTTCAAGTAGTACACATAAGAATCCATGTCATAATATTTTTTTTGCTGTTAAACCCTAAGGCTGTGAAAAGTAAGATGCTGAATGAGGATCCATAGAACTCGAGCTGTCTAAAATAAGAATATGAAGAGACTAAAATACCTTTCACTTTCTTTTAAGTGCATTGAAGGAAGTATTTGTAGACTTGCTCTTACATGGTTTCCGCCATTATGATCGTCAGCTAAGGAATGACCTCCTGGTGATTGCCACGTTAGTGGCTGAAAATCCTGCAGCACCTATGATTGTAAGTATTCATAGTTAAGACTAGTAAGTTTTCCTTTGATATTATGTGTTTAATATTTTTCCTTGTTAAGAAAGAGCTAAGCACAAATGGAACCTTAGGTCTGCTGAGCAGGAAACCACTTTCTACAATTCTACCTCAGAGAGATTTCAAATCCATGTCATTAGCCTGGAGCACTAGCATCAACCAACCTTATTTGGTACCTAGGAAATTAAGCTTACACTGTTCATGTGCAAAAGCAACATTAGCTCTTGCGTTCCTGTACAGATTCTCAGATATGCCATTCTGTGAGTTTTGCACTAAATCTAATTTGTTGTTTGAAGATGTAAGAGTACAAGCTGTATTCAAATAGCACAAATTCATCTGAAGTACCTTTACCTTTACCTTTTGAAGGGTCCTTCAAAAATAAGCTCAGAAACTCTAAGATGCTGAGAAGAGAATGAATTAGATCCACTTAATGAGGCACACGAATTCCATCTAAGACTAGGTCACCTAAAGTAGTCTGTAATGCATTATCATGACTTGCCTAAAAAGCAGATGACTCATTCTTTTGTTGTAGAGTGTTTGCATTCCAGAATTTTCATGAGGAATCTGCATACATGTAAAAGTTGACTTTTTATAACTGTTAGTATTCTTTTACTGTCTTGTTTTACAGTTGAGGTTTAGAACTTTAAATGAAGTTGTGACATATGTATTGAATAATTAAGTAATCAAATTCCTGTTTATGTAGATCTATTGGTAGTTCAGGAATGGATTACTTTCAGGGAACTCATATATAAGCTTCAGTAGAAGTTTCCCAATTGGCTGTATTACCAAATAGATTTAATAGTCTGTAATTAAGATTACAGATTCTTCATTCATTTTTTCCATTTTATCACTAACCATTATGAAATGTCTGTTATACTGTTGCAGCAACATATCTGATATCTAAACATTCAAATTGTTTGTCTGGCTGCAGAAACAGAGTGTTTTTTCCTACAAGAAAAATAACCAGTGCACAGTATTTTAATTCCTTGTACTACAACGATGAAAAATTGTTTCAATGTAAGCAAAAACTTCCAGAGCTAGGTTGAATGTATTCAAGCCCAGCTTGTCCAGGATGCATTTAAGAAGCTGCTGCAAAATAAGAACAGCTTAATTCTGCATGGATGTCTGTGCTGTGTTCTGTGAGCTCTCCTCATGCTGGGAGCTGGTGGAAAGCTCTGTGGTGGCTCTACCAGAGTGCAGAGTCCAAGCTAATGTATTTTGTTGCTCAAGAAGAGCAGCATCCTGTTAACCATGTTTGTATGGCTTATAATCACCTCAGAAATAAAGCTCTTTTGCCTCTAATGTAGACAAGTGTAGACAAGCCCTGTCCTTGGTCCTATTCATAATTTTATTAGACGTAACTGTCTTCCTAGCTGTCTAGGAGCTGTGAATTACAGGATTTTATTTGCTGAAATGCATCTTAGCAGCATTTTAGTATATAATATTTGTAATGCAAGTTGCTCATACGTGCTGTTTTCATATGCTTACGTGTAATGCACTGAAGTTGAATATAATAGTGTGCGTAACTGAAGGCATGAGATTGTATGCACTGGTCACACTGATGTACAAACTTGCACGTGCACAAAGGCATTTAAAAAAAAAAAAAGACTCTTACAGTACTGAGAATGCTGTTTTCTTGTGTGGTAGGTTACAATAGTGAATGCATGTGTTTGGGACTTCCCCATACAAGTTCAGACTTGTACTGAATGAGACATGGATTTAATTAATTGTACCCCTAGCACTGTATTTAGTATTGTACAGTGTCCAAATCGTTGATCTCCTCTTTGATAAAATTCTGTTTAGTCTGCCATAGGATACATTGTACTCTGTTCTGAAGAAAAAGTAAAACTAAAATCAAATTATCAGTTTTAATTTCACTATAATTTATTTTAATTAATGTATTTATTTTGAATTCCTATTAGGAAAGCGGATTTGCAACACTGTTAATAGTACTTGCAACATATACTGAAGGTAAGAGGTAATAATGCATAATTATTATGAAATTATAATACTTCTAGTGAATTTACTTCTATGAATTATAATACTTTTAGTGGAGATTTTGTTGTAACATATGTACTGTTTCCTTCGCAGTTAAAATTCCCAATCCCTTGTTAAAAGGTCTTAAACTTACTTTCTGTTATGAAGACTTTGAGATGAAAAAGTTGTTGTTTAATATTATAGGAATCTTATCTAAAGACCCGCGTGCTGTACAGGTGAGTTCTAACACAGTGGAAGATACAGTAAGCCAAAAAAAGAAAAAAAAGTCAAAAGATTCACTATTTAGCTGTCTATCTAACAGTCCAGAAGATTTTAAATTAGTTCTTCTCTAAATCAAGAATTCAGAACCAGATACTACATGTACCAAACCGAGTTTTGCTGTTTGAAAGCAACGTACACTTTCTGCTTTTGAAAAGTTACAGACCTAAACCATGCTAAGAAAGCTAGCTGATGAGTGACTGTAAAGCATTACTGAAATACAGGTGTAGAAAGTAACAAAGTTTTACAAACCACAGACTTTGTGAATGCTACAGAATATAAACAGAGCTTGTCTGTACCTGTACCATTCCTGACATCTTTTCCCAATAAAAAATAATTTCATAGTGTAGGACAGATAAAGTAGACTCATTGCTTTAGATTTTCCTTACTCACACGTGAAGCCTTTAAGCTGTATCTCTTTGTCTTTTGAATCTGCAGCTTCTCAGTGAAAATGATGTGATGCCAGCTTTGCTTTATTATGTAAAACCACATCAAAAGCCTGGATTTCATGACTGGTCTGCTTCCCAATATGAAGAATTACAGCTTCATGCAATTGCTATTCTGGCTTCAGTGGCTCCCTTTTTAGTTGATAAATATTTGTCCTGCCAAGCGAATACCCTTCTCCTTGTGTTTCTAGAATGGTGTATGGGTCAAGGTCAGTAGATGCTTATGGCTTTCATACGCAGTAACCTCAAAACACAGCTCACTTGGACTTAGTTTCTTTGGCAGGAAGGACAAATGTAAAACTTGTGAAGTTCAAATGATTCCTTTTTACATACACCACTTAGGAAACTAACCTTTAGAAAAATTACTGTAATATTTTTCTTCTGTTGAAGTGTAAGCTGGTATATTTTCTGTGTACCAGTATATTGCTATTCCTGCAGTTGTGCAGGCAGTCACACATCTGTACAGCATGTGCATTAAGCTAATCAGGTATGCTTATTGTCACACCAAATCCAAACAGTAATTCCTGCCGCAGGGCAGTATGCGTTAACTCAAACTCAGAGCTGCACACAGTCAGACAGCTTCTGCACTAAAACTTCCTTGTAGCCATCAGCTGCAAGTGTGAGCTAAACAAATAGATAACTAACTGCACTCAGTCTTCATGGGTTGGTTTTCTGGGGATGGGTAATTTTCATCAGCAGGTAGGCGATCTTTTGCCATAGAGAAATTTTAATTTGTGTGTGATGGAGATAAGAAGATTGATATTATTTATAATGCTGGAAAAGATATTTTAAGTTTTGGAGACTGCTCATTGACCTAGTAAAGTCAGGAAAAAAAAATAAAAATTAATGTAATAATTTTTAACATTAATCAAAATCAGACCTTTCTTAATGAATATTGTATGGCTTTACACAGAATGGCTTCTTACTAGATTATTTTAAAGAAGAAGCCTTTCTAACGTGAAGATCTTTGTTTGCTTGTTTTAGCTAACTTGCACTGGCAAGCCAGTACTTTTTTCCCTGAGCACATTATTGTTATGAACATACACTGTCTGCCAAAGAAAATTCTTGTTGTTATTGCTCCACAGATCCTTTCTTTGGTCAAGGTAATAGTTTCCATGGAACAGGTGGTCGTGGCAACAAACTTGCACAAATGCGCTACAGTCTGAGAGTGCTGAGATCTGTTGTGTCCCTTTATGATGATGCTGTGAACCTTAATTTGTGTGACCAGGGAGCAATTAGCCAGCTACTAGGTAAAGCATGGTTTCTATTGCTGTACTTAAAATTATGTATTTCTGTTGACACTAAGAACATTTGTGTTTTTTCTTACACTGTATTTTTAGTGTGTTACTCCTTTGGTGAAAAAAGTAATATGATTTTTAATTGAGTGAAAGCTGCCCCTAATCTCTTCCTTTATTATACTGCATTTGTTACATCATAGTTTCATTGTGGTAGCCCCAAGGAAATCCAGTCATGAGTCTTGTTCTACTTAAGTCTGTTATGATGTCACTTTACCCAACTATTGTTTAGAAAAACAGAAAATCAAAGCCAGTGCATTTATATATACACATAAATTTATATATATATATGTATATAAAACATTATAAAGATTAAAATCAGAATAAAACTCCAAAACGATTGTTCCTGCAATTTAGACAATTGCAGAAACACATGCCTACTGCTATATATAATTTTTAGGTTCTGATACTGTTTTAAGTTCTTATCTTACAATAATACGTTTTTCTATACTCTGAACTATACTGAAAGGAACAAATAGTTAAGATCTTTTGGAATTTGGAGTATGTTCTAATAGAAAGCCTAAAAATAATAGATTTTATATCCTCAGCTGAAAGTTGAACTCTTGTGAAAACTTACAAATATTAGTGAGAGCAAAATTAACAATGTACCTTGCATAACAGATACAGGCAACTTTTCTTACTTTGAGGGAGATCTGTATCTGAATGTCCTCCTTTATGGAGTGGTTCCAGGACTAATTTTTTCAGCAGTGGTGGCATTTTATGTCTCTGTGTTTCCACTGACAGTACCAGCATTTGCAAGGTTACACAGTAGAGCAGATCAAGAAGCTCTTTTTGTTTTCCTAAGAGTTGCTTAGTTCAAATCAGTTACCTGAATCTATTGCACTGGCACAATACAAGGAGCATCACAGAGACAGGAACAAGGGGCTGAAAGTACTAGGAAAAAGGCTGCTGTCATTAACTGTCATAAAGAGTAAAGTGCAAAAACTATAGCATCAGAGTGCTGAACCTTCTATAAGGTATTATAAAACATAGGAGATAAAACTTAATAGCATAAGTAGATTTCTGTTAGAGTCTCCTGGTATAAATTTGATTTTTTATTTCTTTTTTTAGATCAGCATCTATAATAGAATTCTGGCTTGCATAATAGAACATTCACACGTATAAAATGTATTCATTTACAGATATCCTAAAGTATGCAGCAAACAAATCTAAAGAAAGAGATGATGCCATTCTACTGGAAATCCAAGCTGATACATTATTTATTTTGTCTGCTCTCTGTGAAAATGATGCCCACAGAAAGGTTTGTATCCTTCTACCTCATACTGTGCAGAAAATATCAAAACATGGTACATTTTCATTCAAATGGTACTGCGTTTTTATTTATTTATTTATTTAATTCAAACACAGATGGCACTTGTAATGCCTTGCTAGCAAGTCAGGGCTGTTAACTGGTTTCTGTGATAGTGACAGTTAATATGCAAAATCACTCAGAAATCCATTAGCGAATACCTCACCTATTTAATTGCTATTTTATGTAAATTTTAAAATGAAAATATTAAAACATGTTGAAGAATAGGGTTATCAGTGAGGAAGAACTAAAAATTTCTTTCTGTTATCTATATCATAAGGAATATATCCTGCTCTGACAAGTGGGCCAAATTTATTACAATATAAATAATTTAAATTTAGATTTTAAATTAGATTTTCTTATATGTAGCTATTTAATACATATAGTTTAAGGAAAATGTTGTTTTAATATAATATTTTTAACAATAATAATAATAATTTTCACCAGGAGCTCTTCAGCTATGAAGGAGTGGATATACTTATCCCATTCATTCAGATGGATCCAAAGAAGTTATATAGTGGATTAGGCCACAATCGTCTCCTTTTCAATGCACTCGACTGCTTGTGGTTAGTGAACTATTTTAGCAGCAGTTACTCTTAAAAATGGTAGCTTACATATTTTAGGCCTACGGTACTACAGCCTTTCTCTGCACATATAGGCCTTATATTTAGAAACTGTAAAAATCATAGTTTGACTAATTAAAAAATAATACAGAATAAATGGAATATTTTGCATACATTCCCTATACAGGAGCTTAGTATGACAACCTAATTCCCTACACAGCAGTAGAACTCACTGTGCAGGATGTGACCTCCTGACACCTCAATGCAGTTTCCTAAAAGAGAGGTATATTTTTAGAGTCTGTAAATACTTTCAGAGGAGCAAAAGCAAGATGAGAATAGACCAATATTAGCTTAAAAATGTGCAGTCATAAAATGTGTTCCTAAACTGGCAACTTTGGTCTAGAATTTTTTTAAAAGATTTCTATCAGAGAAATTATAGTTTAGTACTCAAATAGGATAAACAAAAATTATTTTGTTTTAAGGCAGGTTGATAAATATATAGAAAACTAAATAATTGTTGTCTGGGAGAAAAGACTGGGCTTAGTGATGCAGGTAAACCCTCTTGTTTCTGCATTGATGATCATGAAATGAGGAAATAAGGAAGCAATAGCATCATTAGTGCTAGTTTTGTGATCATTTTAAGGTGGGAGAAGCAAACTTTTGCGAAAAGAAATTCTTACTTGTCCCACCCCCTTGATTCTGCTGGCAGAAATATTCACACAGCCCTGCAATGAGCCAGACCAGCAATGTGATCTAGCTAAATGTCAGCATCTTTTATGGATGAGTTTTAGTTCAGATTGGTATTCTAATCCATGTTTTACTTAACCTGCCAAATTTCTTGGGCTGCTACAAAGAAGGTGTGCCACTACAAGAAGAGAAAGTGTGGCCAAGTAGGTTATACTTAGTTATACAGTGCAAATGAAAATGGAATTTGTAAATGCACAAGTGCAGGCATATGAAAATCATTTTTCTGCTCCCTGAAGGCATGAAGTTTATTGCATACTAAATATTTTTATGCAATTCAGTAAAATAAATGAGATGTTTTAAGAATGTTCAAAACATAAAAGTGTTTCCACACGTTGAAATTGTTTCTATTTAAGGTCCTGTGTCGTTGGCTGTTACATTGGAGAAGATTATTTTCTTGAACAACAGGGCATTTTTATTCTTCTGGATTTGCTGGCGGTAGGTATTTTTATTGTTGCAACAAAATAAGAGTACTAAAACAACTTGGAAAATTGAATTTTTAATGGTATGTACAAAGACTATTACAATACTAACAAGAAGTACAGTGTATGAGAAAGGAACGTAATCCACATGCCATATCTCACGGAAATGATTGGAGAGATCTTCCATGTATCTTTTTTGAAAATAAGCAGTTGGCAGAAAGTCTTAAATTTACTCTTTTTTACAAGGAGACTGACATGTCTGTTTAGAAAAGCACCTCGGTTCTTCATATCGTAGTTAGTAAGAGTAGGGTTAGTATACGCTTTAAGGTTTTAAAAGTTTTGATATTTAAAGTCACTTTGTACATGCAGGTTATGTATAGCTATTTCTGTGGGATTTAGGTATACGTATGGCCCAAGCATTTCACCTCAAGAATTTCACAAGATGAGCATGTGCATTGCTGGTTTCATTCCCTCCTCATTCTTGCCAGCCTCCAATGCCCTTGCAATTCAAAGCTACAGACCCTTTCCTACTCTCATTTGCTGCTGAAAGATCTGACCACAGAATAGAACAGATGCTCTGTGCCACTGCCTTCTAAATCTGTTTCTTATAAAAATAAATATTGTTAGCAGTACATTGTTCTGAAGCTTTAATTCTCCTTCCTATGAGCCTGGAGGCGCTTATTAAGTAGTTCTACACACAGATACATGGTTCTTACATGATCCTACACACATTCCACTCATGTTCTTTAATTTATGGAACTTTGTATGGCAAGATTCCAGAAACTTGAAAGATTTTAAATGTATATATCTTTTTTTTTTTTTTTTTTTTCGGAAACATCTGTAATGAAAAGCTTCTAATTACTTGATCACATATAGGATTTCTCTGTATTTTTTTTATTGGAAGGTAGACTAATACCGTGCTGTGAACAGGTTAAAATGTTTTTCCTTTTCTCTTCACCAAGTTAAAGCAAAAAAACCTGTGCAATATAATTCTTGGACTCCTAGTTGAATTTTGCGACAATCCCAGAACCACCTTTCACATCAGTACCTGGCGAGGGGAGAAAGATCAAACAGCAGCTAACCTTCTAATACAGTTATGGAGACAGGAGGAGTTGGACCTGGGAGTCAAACGTGATCGGTACGGAAGGATTGCTGGTAAGTTTTATGATACATATAAAACTATGAGCAGTTCCACTGAATAAAGTAAATCAAATATATTTATTTTTGCAACCAGAATCCTAATGAAAGAAAATTACAATGTTTATAGGTTTATGCTGCAGTTCTCACCAAAGCCAAAATACTTTCTATGTATTTTGTTGGAGTCTGGCCACTAGATGGCATTTTCTCTAATAGCTGGGGAAACTAAACCATTACTAGTAACCTGAACTGCTTTTCTAATGCTGGACAACTAAGCTATTTAATTTGTTTCACAAATGACATTGTTTTGTTATATATTGTAAAAATGAACAAGGAAGGTGCTATGATATCACAGGTCTTTAGTCATTATAAGTAATATTTCCTAGCCCAAATTACGTTCAAACTCCTGGCCAAACTATTGAAATGGTTTCCATAGTGTCCATAAAGTAAGATGGAACTGCTCTCTTTTGAAGGAGGCATCACAGAAAAGAACATGTCAATAGCTGCATGCCGAAGGTACAGCTTCATTACAAAGATAGCATTTCCTGTAAGTTTAATAGCTTTGGGAACATGCTGCCTCTTTGCTCTTCTGCTTTTGTTTTGTGTTTTGAAATTATTAGATGTGAAGAGACCCATTGTTGGCAGCTTCCAGAAACAGCAAGAGGTCATCCCCATGCCTGCCAACTCTCCCACCTTTGCCATTGTGGAAATTTCAGAAAACATACGGGCAAAACTTTATTTATTATTGTGCAAGCTAGGTAAGACAAATGAATTGCCTTGTCAGTGTCATATTTGTCATTAAACTGAATGTATTCATTGGCAGTCAGTCAAGTCTCTATCTAAAACAAACACAAATAAAGATGAAAGGAACTTTGAGGTACATCATCAGTGCTCTGTTATTAATAGATGCTTGCTCATCCTGGTCTTAAAAGCCTCTATTGGTGGGGATTTCAAGACTTCACCAATGCCCATTGGGAAGAGTTTTCCTAGAATCAAATCTAAAACGTTGAAACTTTCTGTAATTTGTTTTCCAATGCATAGACTTCACATATTTTAACATGTTATGCTTCTTTTCATTTCCCTAGATTTAGAAATACTGCTTTCTGCAGCCTTTACTCAGAGCGCTCATTTCCTAGAATAGTCTCTGATTATTCTCATTGTTTTTTTCTTGAATTTTTTCAATTGGTTCACATTCTTCTTGATCTGTTGTGTCCCAGAACTGAACACAGTACTTCAGCAGAAGCCTCACAGCCAAATAGAACTGTATTACTGTACTTGTTTTGTAAATTACCATTGAGACATTAATAAAACAATTGCTCTTGTCACAATGGCATTTGTTCATTTGATTTGTGATCTTGCACAGCCTCCAGTCATCTACCATCCTGGATTTGTACAGATGACTTCGTACATTTAGAAATTTATGTTTGTCCTTAATGAACTACATTCTATGTTTTCAAGTAATTTTTCAAATTGGCAAGATTAATTTGCATTCTAATCTTTGCTTATGATATGCTGCGGTCCTTCCTTATTGTATGTTGTTTGCACACAGAATGTGAATACTCATTACGCCCTTGCCTAAAAACCTAAACTGAAGTTAAGATATGCTTTTCCACATCCATTAGACTTCTCACTTGGCTGTAGAGAAGAACTAGGCTGAATGACATGGTTTGTTTTTACTACTTCATGTTGTATAGTAATGTTTTCACTGGTACCATTTAGCTACATAAATATTATCTTTTTAAATATTTGCTACAGTCATTTTTCAGGAACTGAATTTGCCTACTATTCTCTGGCTTCCCCTTTTCTCTTTTTAAAAATAGGTATAATGTTTGTTGTTTTCAAGCCTGTCCTCCATGGGTAGATAATATATAATATATTACAAAATTGGTAATAGTTCTGAGAGTTCTTTAGCCAGTTCCCTGGCTATTCTAGAGAACCAATGAATCTGAAAACATCTTCAGCTTCTCTAATAAACTATATCCCATTGTTTCTCCATTTTAACCTAGATTTTTAGTATTTTTATTAGCATTATTTATGTTAATCCTGGATCATGGCTGAATTCTCTATTAAAGCTAAAAGGCATGAGATTTTGTTCCAGCTTTCTTCTATATTCATACATACTTCTTGTTATTTATATACATTGTAATGTGTCCTCTAAAGTAGGAAAACAACATGGAAGTGAATAATAAAAATGGGAAGATTTTTATGGCCTTTTCCCACCACCTTCCTCTTGGTGTTTTTATACTTCATAACAGCCTGTAATGCTGTGATCAGAAATCCAGTGTTAATTGGTCTTCATTTATGGCATTTCTTAACTTCAAAACATGATGTAATTATACATGATGTAATTATATAAATAGGTGCTGCATTCCCTGTTACCACACAGATGGTATGATGAAATTTAGAAATAGGTTTGATAGACTATATAGAAATATATTTTTTAAAAAGAGTATAATTAATATTCAGCATGCAAAAAAAATGAGGCATAGTCCTAGCAACCATACTTCTCTTCCTTATTCTTTTACATGTATTGTAAAAATATTTTTTAAAGAGGAACTCATTATGCTCAAGGCATTATGCTCAAGGCTTAAATCTGTGAGATGGAGATTACGTTCATTATCCAGTTTAGAAACAAAGTATTGGAGATCTTGTAATACAATTCTTCTGTTGGCTACTTCACAGCTAAAGCAAACTCCGTGAAAAAATGTTTCTTTAGCAACTGTGACCTGTAGACTCAACTGTCTGCTTTAATGGAAGATCAAACCCTCACCACAAAACCATAGCAAATGCAGTACTATCCTGGCTTTACAAACAACTGGAAGATCACTGAAGCCATTTAAAAGTAAAGAGTTAGTGTAGAGTGAATTTATTATGGAGATTTTTTTTTTAATTGCTTAAAGCCTGCTCATGATTGGAAGAGTGACTGATGTACATATGATGCAGATTTTGCATATGCTCATGTGATAAATAAGATGGTGTCTTCTTTTAGACTGATATTCTAAGATAGATTGATCATGCTGTTAACACCAAGATGATTAATACTCCTTTAGGTTTTGAAGATTTGCCTGGCTTATCTGCTAAGGATTTTGTCACGCTTGCTATCATACGACGGTATGTTGACTTTAAAGTAAGTATTGTGGAAGAAAATATTGCTACTCTATCTGTGTTTGCAAGAATGGCAAATTAACTTACAGGATACAACAAAGAAATAACCCTTCAGTAACTATCACTTTCATAGAAAGTGTAAGCCAGTATTTAGCATCAAAGGAAACTATCCCACCTGCATCATTCCAGCACTCCCCAGACTTGTAAACCAGACCAGAAACCAATGCCAGTTAAAAATAACTCAAGAAAAAATAGTTTTAACTGCCAACTCCAGAAATGGGAATGGGCCAGGATAAGTGTAAGGAAGTGAGGAAGGGCTGGAGAGCAGGACTGCCTCTTTATGCATCACAGCCAGATTATGTATGGATTGGTTTTGGTTTTTTTTTTGCTATTAAAGATGACATTAAATACACATTCTGATAAAAGGTGTTGTTGTTTTTTTTTCTTTTTTCTGTGCTTTTCCATCCTTGTACCCACACTCAGGATCCATCCATGTTGTCAAAGCTTAAATTGTTACAGTGTTGTGCCTATAGGAAACAAGAACAGAATACAAAGTTTTGTAGTGAACATCCTGCTCAAAAGATGTTTTAGTTTATGCCAGTTTTTGGCTTAGGAATGCAGTCTGTGAAAGCTTGAAGTGTTCAGGATCTAGTAAGAGTCAACCTTTAGTTGGTAATTCCAGGTTTCTTTTGTGTCTCATGTTATAGTTTGTTCTGATAATGCTCACAATTTGAGTGAAAAGACAGTAAGACACAACACTTCACTCTTGTAATGTGGTGTCTTGCATTTGTATTTCTTCAGTTTCTGTAGTTAGAAGCATTCCTGTTACTCTTCTGTGGAGAGAAACTTGGGTGTGGGAAGAGTTTAGGGTAGATTGTCATGAATGAATTTGGCATAGCATTACTAAAGTCTAATTTGCATAACAATTCTGGGAAGTGAAACAACAATAAAGAGAAAAAATATTACTTGTTACATTTTGAGTGAATGGAACTGAAAGAAGACATAAATATCAGTGTGTGTGTATTTGTGTTTCATATACAGGTTGGAGAAGTCTGGAGTGAAGTGTGTACAGAGATAAAAGAAGAATTCAGGCCTGTTGCTTCAGATGAGGAAGCCTTGAAAGTTATTTCAGAGGTGTCAGAAAATGTTGGAAGATCGGTTGCTGCTCTCCAGACTGAAGTGCTTGAAAGTCAACATCGCCAAGAAATCCGAGAGGAGGAAAAAACGTATACAAAGGTATGTTTGTGCAAGTGAAGTCAATTGAAAGTTTTTGTCAACTTACAGGAAGATTTTCTTATTGTATAACGTTCAAAATCCAAAATGGGTACATTGTTTAAGATGTTTTAAAATTAATTTTGGTTAACCTCAGTTCTCTTAGTTTGTATAATTTTGTTGCTATTTAGAAAGTAACATGAAAAAATGAAGTAGTGTCATCAGTGATGCATCAGCAATGGTATAGTAAGAAATGATAATTATGTTACTATAGGAGTTGCACCTGTGTAATCTGTAGCAGATAACAATTTGAAGTACCTATTGTAAATATATCCACTTCTTAAACTGAAATGTAAGCCTCTGTTATAAACTCCCTTGCCTGAATATTCACAAAGCCTCATTACTTCGGAAAGCAGGGCTATGTGCTTCCCAGCATGCTAAAAGGAAGCAGGTATAAACATTGTCCAGCTTTGATTATAAGGCAAGCACTAGAGATTTTGGCTGTCTCATCCTCTCCTACCTTCTGAGAAGTAAAGGTAGTCAGTCTAGTTTTCTAAAAGCTCATGCTAGTGTTTTGGAGGGATTGTCTTGCATTATTGTGCATGTACTTTTGTTACCAGTACCAATTTTGTCACCAGTACCAATTCCATCTTGCATTTTGTTAATCTCATTTATATCACAGATCCAAGCTGTCCATAAGCAGAAAGAAATGGTAAACAAATCTTGGGAAAATTTCTTGACTCGGACATCAAACTATGAGGCATTGAAGGTAAATAAATAAATAAAATAAAATAATAAAAAAATGAGTGGAGGAGCAAAATTTTCATTCACAATGTAGTTAGAATAACTGGGAAATTCCAAACACATTTCTTAGTGAATTATTAGGTTATTCAAGTAGAAGCTATAGTAAATTTTATGTTCACACAAATATAGAAGAAAGAACCACAAGCCTTATGGGCAAAGCTATGCAAACTGTGGTACTTCTGCTTTTCTGATTATGGTCACAAATTGGGGTTCAACGTGGCTTATGCATTTGTGATTAGGTAAATATGTATATATAGGGCAGTGAAGCTATGAATTTTTCAATAATGACTCGGATATTGGATAAGTGTGTATCCTCATCATGTCCATACATGACACCGAGCTGGAGGAAAGAATCCATATGCTGGGAGGTAGGGTCTCCATTCAGAAAGACTTTGACAAGTCCAAGGGGTGGGCTGATCAAAACCTCAGGGCATTCAGGAAAAGAAAATGTGACATCTTTCATCTGGAACATACTAAGGCTTTCATGGATCCTGGGGTTCAGCCTGGGGACTGGCTAGCTGTGTAAATACATACTGACTGTGGGGATCCTGGGAGATGACAAACTGAACACGAGGCAACAGTGTGCTCTTGTGGTAATGAAGGCTAACAGCATATTGGGCTGCATTAGAAAGAATATAGCCAGCAAGTTTTAGGATGTGATTACTCCCTTCTGGCACTTGTGAAACCACGTCCCTTCATTCTGCTTTCAGGTCCCCAGTACAGCAAGAGAGTCACAAACCAGAGAGTACTTCTAATTAAGGGACAATAGAATTGTTACTTCATTTATTTTCTCATTTGTATATTTTCTAACAGTTGCAAATGATACTATTCATTCCGATTAAAACAATTTTACGTTTTTTCTAACAACCTTTAGAAAGCAAAAAGGCTACAGGAAAAGTCAATAGAGGCTTCCAGATCTAAATTGAAGACTCAGAATGGAGCAGTTCATTCTACTGATATTAAAGGCCTCAACACAACAGTAAGTAATCCCCAATAACACTGTTTTACTTTCATTAATGTGCAAGTGGCTTGGGGTCTATTCTGTTTGTATTTGTGCTGCTGCTTATTTTTTCTTCAGTAACATTTATGTTGACAAGCTCCAAGCATGTCCTGCAAACCACCACCTCCCCCTCTGACACATCTTCAGACAGGTCAGAATGAGATTCAGATCTGAAAATGTCTCAGAAAAACTGTGGGCAAGATGGTCCCTATGTTACTTGATGTGAACTTCTTATGGGACAGCCTTCTATGAAAACTTTGAGGTCAAAATCTCCTTCCTTTTTTGTTAGGTAAATTCATGCAATCCCTAGTATGTCAGTAAAGGTCTCTCAGACTCTGCAGATAATTCACCTATTATATCTTCAGAAAAGATTTTTTTTTGCATTCCTATCAGTTAACTGAAATGTGAGATGACACAAGCCATTGTTAAGATCTTACACAGGTATATCCGCATATCTGGATGTCGAATTCTGACAAGCTGGGGTAAGACATGGCAGAATCTCCGTTCTAGTCAGGAACGGCGTTTGAGCTAGCTGAGTTAACTGGCTGTGTAAGTAGCACAGCTAAGGGAGAGAGGTTGCTTCTTGATTGCTTACAGGGAGTTACACTTGTAAGAAGAAGCAAGGAAGAAAAAACATGAGCTGCTGTTTTCAAACAAAGGAAAGAGACTATTATCCTGGGCTTTATTGCATGGATAAGTAAGGACGGGTAAGATGGCTGCATCCTGTAAAAGCAAAGAGGCAGTTCGTGCTTGATGTGATGAAGCCAGGATAAGCTTACCAGTAAGCAAGGGGATGGTCTTTGAGTACAGAACTAGGATTTCATCCTTCCCTACACTTTCGAAAGACACAGAGGGGCACATGTGTGAATGCAAGATGAAGTGGTCTGGAAAAAATTTCTAGTTACATACATATAACAAAACGACTGTTAACCAGCAATATTTTGCTGAAAATATCTGAAAATTCTAGATATAAACATGAATACTCAAAATTTTTAGCAGAGAGTAATAAGCTGTTAGATTTTATTTTAAACACTTGAGCCTCAGGACAGGATTATTCACTTCTTTGGCAGAAGAGGATTTACCAGAAAATATCTTTACAATTCTATAGTATAATTCAATATTTCAACAACTGTAGATAAAAACAAGGAAGAGGTTAGTCCATTTTGACTGAGGAGAGTTTTAGGAAAATGAATGCACCAGCAACATAAGATAAAATTCCTTGACTGCATTGCTTAGAAGTATTGCAAATGCCAGATATTGCTAGTTTGTTTTTTTTTTCATTTTTTTATGGAACAATCTTCTTTCCTTCTCTCTGACAAACATCTTAAATAGTGGGAGATGAAAATGAAGCTAAGATGGTTGTTGAAAACCGGTCAAGGTTAAGTAATCAAACATGTGAGCCCCATGCACTCAGAGAGTGGCATTGTTTGTTTCAGTAGGTCATGGTTAGAAGATAGAGCTGTCACTCAAGAATTTTTATTCAAAGACCTGAACCCATTCAGTATAAAGAGTAGTAACAAAACTGGAAAATATATCTCTTTCAGTCTTGGAGTTTTCATGGAGCAGTAGTTACAGGCAATTGCATTCAGAGAGAAACAGATTCTGTTCTCTTTTTTTTTTTCTTTTTCTTTCTTTCTTTGCCTTTTTTTTTTTTTTTTAGTATTAGCATATAGCAAAAATCTGAGGACAAAAACTGTGGCTGATATTATGTATAAATCCAAATAACACTGCACAACAAACTTCTATTGTAATAAAGGCTCAATTTTCTTTTCCTCTATTCAGAAGTCAGACATGAAAGCAGAAAAGCAGAGTACAGAAAGGTACAAAAAAACACTTTGTCTTTTCCTTTGTATTGATGGGAACAATTTGTGAATTTAGTATAAAGGATAGTTTGAGTGGACCTAGGAAACCTTAGCATGCATCTCCACCAACTGAATAATATTTTCAAAAGACCAGTTCGTGGTTTAAGTCTTATCTCTTTTTAAATACTAACATGGATGTCAAACAATGCATCTATTTTGTTTTTCAGATCGGATCTGGTCGCTTAGTAACTGTAGAAAGTACACCTTCTCAATTAATTGGAGGACCACTGTCTGGTACAGACCTTGCTCTTGGAAAGCCATCTGTTTGTGAAGGAGCCTTAAAAAAGATCAAAAGAGTTAAAACATTGGACTCCATCAAGAAAGATTTGGGACCTGTAGAATAAATAATGTTCTGAGCAGTGCTTTTAATATTTTAGTTAACTGCATATATATTGTAGATACAAGATAAAATATATCTGTAATGTTTTCATGAATTGCACAGAACATCTCGATAATGAAATTATATTTTGTATTTTTTGTAACTAATATAAACATGTGGGTGATTTACTAGAAAAAAAAAAACTCCATATAGTACAAAGGCATACTGAATCTAGCAGTTTTGTGTGCTAGTGTCAGGTTACCATGATGCACTATCAGTAGGTCTAGTGTTTGGATTTCCATCTTCTGTTGACACACTCCACACATTGTAGTTTAAGTATCAATTTGAGCAGGGTGATGAACTTTCACATAAATACACTCAGCTCTTCATTGTCCCGGACAAGGTACCCTCATGGTGTTTGTTCAAGTCCATTTTGTTCCTCGAACTGCCACCTTTAGCATCAGGACTTCAGCTAACGGCTCACAAAGACGCAAGTCTGTGCCAACAGTTTCTCTGAATCTGTTTGGCAGACAAGCTCTTCACAGACTTCTCACAGCTGATCATACATGTACAGTTCTTATTTTTCCATGGGTTACCTCCAGTAGGAACTCTGTTCACCCTAGCATCTGTAGAACACCAGCACTCCTCATATAGCAGACTTTTTTATAGATGACTCAATTCTTAAACTATTGTTTCCTTTCCCTACTTGGGCAAAGCCAGAGTTTGCTATATTATTTTAGAACAAGATTTTCTGAGGCTGTTACTTCACTTTAGATTGAGATTCACAGCATTATGGCATAAACTCCTGTGACACTGCAAGAGCTTTTGTAACATACACACGTTGGCAGTAGTCTGTTATTTTTGTCTGTGAGCAGTCTTTTGAGAAAAGCACAATCTTTCACTTTGTTAAATGCACACTTAGAAAGTAGAAATAAATTTGAGCTAACTATGTAAAACTTAGTTTCCAACTCGCTTTTATTTACCTCCTGAAAGATGTATTGGCTGTGTGCATGTATAAGGATTTCTTAAAAATTTGTTCCTGTAACAAGACATAGAGGTGGTGGCTTTAAAATGGAAGTAAGTGGATTTTTGTTTTAAAATTGTCTACTTAAATTCTATAAAAATAATGAAATATGGCAAAGTAGTGATATGAAATGGTACTCAAACTTTGAAGATATCTCTACATGCTTATTTTCCAAAGATTTGAAGAGTTTTCTCGTGGGCAGATCTGTTAAACATTACATTGTGAAGTAACAGTCATCTACTACTTACAGCTAGAAAAATTAAATTGAATTATGTTAATTTAATTTAATTTTTATGTTGGCCCCTTGCTAATTAATAATTTTTAAATGTAATTAGTTTCATTGTGACTTTTTTTCCAAAATCATCTGCACGAACCGTAAGCATGTTGTGTTAAACAAGCCACTTTGTTTTCTCTGGCTGCAAGAAAGATAAGTTAAGGTATATAGAAATTATCTAACTATAGGTCCATGTGTCAAGTGAAGTTTAGCTTAGTTATTTATATTTCTCTGCCACAACCAGTTATGCTGCTTTATTACTATTTTAGAGGATATGAAAATATTTTACACACTGGAGCCACAAAAAGTATGCTCTGTTTTCTGTTAAAAAATAAAAGCAAACAATAAATACTTTAGTGGGACAACACAGTTTCTGTGGCATTTATTTTTTATTATTATTATTTCCTTACATATATGTGAATGCATGGATGACTCCTTACTACTCTACTGGCAGCTAGGCACTGGCCCATTTTTTCCAAAACAAAACAAACCCTTCACCATACGGGATTCATTAAGTCCTTCCCTTTTCTGAGTAAAAGCTACAGCAGTACAATATAGCCAAGGTATGGATGTGAAAGAGCTTTTAACTGGAAATCAGTTTATATTTATGCTTATGCAAAAACTTTAAATTAGGCACAAAGTGTGCAGCATTTCTCCCACAAGTGCATTGTGCTTTCATTACAGGCTCTCTGATGTTGCAGGCAAGTAGCTTCAAACACTTGTTAATTGGAGAAACTGGAGAAGGAAGAGGACAGAATTTCCCTAAATGCTTACACTTATATCTCAGAACTGAAAGCTAACACGTGGCTTTGCAGCAGCATAGACAATGTTTGATTTTAGCAGCCAGTCATGTGGTCTGGCTGTTGGGGAGGAACCTAAAAAATCCCCTTATTAGTCTCTCTTGTATAGAGCCCAGGAGTAGCAGCTGACTTTTGGTGGCTGTAGACAATGCAAGTATATCTACCTGCAAATTATTTCTTTGCTTCTTATCTTGCTGTATTTCTGTTCACCCACAGGATGACTGTGTTCAGTGCTTTAACAGCCCTGCATAGCTGACACAGTCACAGGGATATCCTAAAGAGATGTGAGGCAGTGGGAAAGTACCCAGAGGATAGTAGATCTAAAAATAGATCTATAAGAAAAAAAAGTGAAAAACAAAGATTTGAGTCAGGTGAGAAGATGTGATGAAGGTTTCCACATATGTAAAAGACAGTGTGAAACAGGAGATGATCTTACATTGGGAAGAGTGGAACCCATCCTTGCTGACACTCTACTACCCTTGGTAAAATCCTTCTTTTGATCCCCTCTTGTGTGAAGTGCAAAGAGCACACGTGCCAGCAGGAAGCCAGCACCCAGCACACCAGGACAAGAAGCAGACTGTAAGTGGACAGGTGTGTACTTTAGATATTGTTGGCATCAGGACTTACACTGATATTAAGAGAAATTTCTCACTACTTTGTACTCCTTCTGGAAGGGTGAGAGAAATTTTACAAGATTCAGTTCAATATTGTATTTACCTAGATGAACATTTACAAACCTATGAGAATTTTTGGATGTTTTACACACTATATAGGAATTAAGCATAATGTGTGATGCATTTCTTGTTACTTAGAATGTTTCTGTGCTGTTACCATGCAAGTACTGTTCCCTGTAATACTGAAACCTAGTTGGGAACTCCTAAAAGGCTAGAACACAACAGAAAATAAACAAGCTGCGTTGTCGAAAGAGTAGGGAACAGTCAGCATCTCTGAGTCCTCCCATTTGTTCTCAGGCCACTCTGTGCTCAGGAAAAGTGGATTAACTAGGCGGTTACATCTTTGCCAGGATGGATGGTGTCTTACATTGTGAGCTGTACTCAAGCCAGTCTCTCACTCTTTCAAACCATTTCATTCTCGGGTCTCTTCTCAGCTGTGATGTTCCCTGCTATGACAGGGATGGCTTCTATCCCCTTACCTGTATGAACATGTAAATTAAGAGCAGTCTTGTGCCAAGTGCTCTTCTTAATGTAATGTAATAGCATTTGCAAAGAACATGTTAATAAGCGAGAAAATAACTATTCTACAGACCTTGCTGCATAGAAAAATATTTTAATTAATCCATAGACTAGACTAAGCAGTGATAAAATACAAAGTTTAGGCTGCACAGGACATACCATAAGCATAAACCTTCCCTTTAGCTTGATGTCACACTTTTTTTGCAATTCGTAAAAGAGGACCGTATATGCATAAAACGTGCATGTTGACACTTTCTCCATTGCTTAATGTATAAAAATATAGTGCGTTTCCATCAAAATTAACTATTAAAAAAGGGAGATATTGGAAAAGATATGCCTCTACAAAAATACCACACTGCTTCAGACTTATAAGCTTACCTGAGAGAACAAAGGTGTTGACTCAAAACAAAAGTATTCTCATGTGGTGGGAAAAATGCAACTTTGTAGGCTGGAAGAAAGGAAGCAAAGGGGATCTTGTGGGAACTGATATGAGTTTAGCAATGATTAAACACTTTATACAGAAAAAAAGTTGAACCACACTAACGGATTTGTCTAAGCATCTACAATATATGCTGTGCTTTTATGCTCCTTCATTTTGATGTTGCCTTGCTGAGGTATCTTCATTTTCTCCCCTTTTGGGCTAAAATGGGTTGGTGAAAGCAGACCCTGTAAGATTATGAAAGAAAGGCTGTTATTTTCCATGCAATACATCTAGGAATGCTAGGATTAAATGATGTCCATGTTCAGTCTACAAACCTAAAACATTTGACTGGGTAATCAGGAAAAAAAAAAAAATCTATTGAAGAGGAGGAAGAAAACCAATAGATCTAGGGCTGGTTAATAAGACATTAGGCCAATCACCTATATGATCTCAGTTTGGACTCATCTGGGACCAGGATGACCAGGATCTATCACTTTGGTGATTCACAGTGCCCATGAACTCACATTACACGTCAACAGTTTCAATGGGAAGAACAGGGATCAAGTGGTCAGAGGTTTGCATTTCCCTTCTCACAGAGGGACAATTCCCCAAAGTTGAGACCGAAGTCCAAATACTAGGAAACTTCCAGTATTGTAATGCCATTTATACACACACAGTGATAAACAGAGTATGCAGCATCCATTTACACACATTTCCATGTGCCTACTTGCCATTATTTGCACTTTGTTAAACACAGAAATTTAGCACCCTAACTACTTTTAATTCATTTTAACTTTTAACTTTTTATTGTGATAGTAGCTACTGTTGAAAGACTCAAATACATTTGAAAAGCGGAGACAAAAATGGAGAAGACGTTGTTGAACTGCCTAAATAATCAGAGACAGAACAATGATTCGGTTTAATATTAGTACATAAAAGACTAACATCCTATCCTGTGGTTACCTTCTAAAGTTCTATGTGAGTATGTAGAAGAATATTTGGGAGATATTAGCTGTCTTCTGCCCATTCCATGAGATCTTGAGAGCACACAGTCTACGTACATATCCCAGAAGTTCTGGGCTAAATCATTGAAAAGTTCATTGTGCTTGGGCTTGGGGGATTCCTTCAGGAACATCATGAAGTCCCAGAGAGCAATGACTGTGTCTGCTACCTTGAGTTTCTTCATTTCCACCAGCCCATGGGATGACACCTCCCAGCACTGATGGTCAATCTGACCCAGGCTTGATGGAGTTTCCTTCTGAAAGTCCAGATTGGCACAAACCAATTTCAATATCAATACACAGCTGAGCTGAAGATACCACCTTCTTTTCCATAAAAATTCCATACTCCAAGAAGATACCTGAAAGAAAAAGTATAAAATCACAGCAATTCTGCCGTCATGTAATTCATTCTCACATAATTTAGAAGGATACACCAAGGATACACCATATTTATGCTTTGTGGTTCTGCATCATACTTAATTCTTACAGGACAACATTTCTTTTCAAACCGTGGAAGAGACACTAGACTGTTATTTCTAATTTTAGAGTTATAAATAGACAGTCTTTCATGGAACAGCCCAAATCAGAAAGGCGATTATGAAGGGAGAGTAAACCAGATCATTATACTGGATGGGGTGAGCACAGACAATATGCTGAACTCACTCAGTAACTGTTGCAAGACTGGAAACAGGCAAATTCCCTTCTGGCTTGTGTTAGAAAATTAAGCAAAGTTCTGGCACAATTATTTGTAGCATATATGCAAAATGCTGAAACTATCCAGAGAATCAGAGATGTAAAGAGTAATAACACAGGAGGCATAATGAGAACTTCAAATGCTCCAGAATATGTAGTCATTATTATACATGCACTCCCTCTGGGAATACCGCTGTTTTCCTGTGATGTAATTCCATAAGCTAGGAGCAGGTTTAAACAGAACATCACTAAAACATCTGATATTTTTTTCTCAGTCCTTCCTATCAAAATAAAAGCGTTGTGGGATAGGAGAGTAAACAAAAAGGGGAAAAAAAAGAAAAAGAAAAAAAGAAAAAGAAAAAAAATAGAAAAAGGTGAACATGCAGGAAAAAATATGAAGAAAAAGCTGACAGCCAAGATTGAGATAGTATTCCTTACTTAGGTGGCCCAAATCAATCCTGTGTTAATACCATGCTCATTCTCACAATTTGAAATCCTGTTGACAACTCTGGATGTAAGACACAAACTACAAAGTGATGTGATGTGTGATGTTTTTGTGCAGGTACAAGGCAATGTTTTAGGCAGCTGTACAAATTTTATTTTTTATTGGTCAGAATTCCAACAGCACTCCTCCACTCAGTATTCAATTGGGCACTGGCAGTAAGAAAAGTTAGTTTTTTCAAAGTCATAACACCCTGGCATCCTCTCTGCAACTCCTAGTGATGCAGTTAGAGTGGATAATCCACAGATAACACAACATACATGTACATGTATATGTGAGCTGTCAAGAAGAATATAGAGAATATAGAAGAATATAGAGTTCAGATGGCACCATGGAGTTCAGTCATACCCATTTTTGCCACAGCCTCAGGGTGTTGGGGTGATTTTTAGTTTGAGCACATGGTTACGCCACTGCAGCCACCTGAGGTCCCTAAAGTCATGTAGTCTCTTGGCCATGACAGCTAGTTCACCTCCAGAACTTGAGGGAATGGGGTGGACAGATACTGACCAGCCTAACTCCTTTCTAAAACTCCACTTGTTAGTTACACATTAGCAGGCAGTACAGTTATCCTGAGAGCTTATGAATATGCAATAAAGTTTCTCAAGTTTGTTCTTCCATGGGTTGTTAGACAGCTGGCTGCTGTAAGCAAGTAGAGATGGAAATGGCTCTCTTCTCACTTCCACTTCATGAGGTATCAGCAGTCAGAGGAAGCACACTAGTAATATAGCTACAAAGTAAGACAATAGCAGCCAGAGTGCCACCAAAATATTGAGCTGATTTGATGCTTTAATCTAGCTAACAACTAAAATGATAAGGGTACATCTGAACACCTCAAGCAGGAGCAGAGACCACAGCAAGCCTCACAGACTTCCCATGAACTACTCCTACCATTCAGTGTGAAACAGAAGAGTTTCACAAAGGCAATAACTAAAGAGCCGTAGTGGAAGTCATACTTACAGTGCTTTTGTGACGAGATGAGGAACGCTAGCCCTGAAACAGCGGTGATCAGCCACTTGGAGAAAAAGCAAGCACTTCCCAAATGGGCTGCAAGCGCTGACGGCGGGGATGACAGCGATGCTGGCAGAGCAGCAGCAGCAGCGTGAACTCAGGTCAGCAGGAAAGCAGCAGCAGCTCGGGCTGTGACAGCCCCACCTCTTTCTGCAGCAGTCACCGAGTGCCAGCCAAGCCCCCAGCTCGGAGGTCTCACCTGGAGAGAGGGCACGCGTGCGTGTGAGGGAGTGTGGCCAGGGCACGGGGCTGCTGGGGACACAGACACAACAGACAGCACATCTTTCCCCAGACCAGTAATACAAACACTCTCCTCATTTTATCAATCCCGTCTGCACTCCTGTCCACCCACCAGAGACCCTTACCTTGGCTGCCAGCATCCCCAGAGGGCTTTTTGAAGCTGTTTTATTGTACTTGGCAGCAGCCCATCTGGGCCACCACAGTCAGCACCAGCACCATGCACTGCAGTTTGTGTCCCACGTGTGCCAGCCAGGATGTCGGAGCAGATGTTGAGGCATAAGACTGAAAAGAAAAAAAAAAAAAAAAAAAAAAGAGAGAAACAGATTCTTGATCCAGCTGCTGTGGATTTTCCACATGTTTATATGTTGTGAGTTACCCCAGCCAGACCCAGTACACTATATAAAATAATTTCCATATCCTGCTAGCAAAATGAGGTAAAAAAATATAAAAATAATTTAAAAAAAAATAAAAATTAATTGACAGGGGTATCAGGGAGCCCAAAGCATTACAATCTATAAAGGCCCTTGAAAGCCTCTGAAGGAAGATGATCTTAGTGCAAAGTCTGCTCCCAAGGGCAAATGCTTTTCCATAAATTAGCAGTTCTGTTTCTCCCTTGGTCCTGGTACTCCTTCTTGGATAGCTCGGGCAATGCCACATTCAGGTAGCTGGTTTCCTGGCCCCGGTTCTTGGTATCTAACACAGAGACAGACCTGATTCAGGACAGGTTGCCCAAAATTGAATTCCACAAGGAGGAGAATTAGTACAGCTACCTTGTCTTACATAATTGATACTTAGATTTCTATACACAGATTTTTCTGACAAACTTTTCAGCACACCCTGTCTTAGATCACCAAGCAAAATGATTTGGGTCCTATTCTAAAAGGTATAGGTATAAAGGTATATATTTGTCGGAGAACACCTCATACACCACATGCATGCTTTCTAATCTCTCCAAGGACGTGTTCTCTTTCAAGGAAAGTCACCAGCCTTTCACCTTCAAAGGCACCTGAGTTTATTGGAATTTGTCAGAGCAAAACCATCAGCAGCCAACATCGTTACACTCCAAGCATTGTCACAAACACACTGCAGTTCCATGTTTTTTCCAGCCAGCAGTGGTTAGGTGTCAGATTATAACTCAGCATGTAGCTGCCTCTCTTCCTGTCATAAATTCCTATGGCTGGGGAAAAGCAACAAAATCAGCTGTGAAAAATGTCAGCGCTACCATTCATTTTTATAAGCCCTCCATAAGAATTGAAAAACTGCAATGAGCTCACTCCTGAGCCTTCTCTTCTTCAGACTGAACAGCCCCACCTCTCCTCAGGAGAGGTGCTCCAGCCCTCTGATCAACTTTGTGGCCCTCCTCTGGACCCACTCTAACAGCTCCACATCCTTCTTGTGCTGGGGACCAGCAAATGGCAATGTTCAGAATAACTCTCTCTCTTTGGGAAGCCTTTCTAGCTTAGCAATGTAAACTGTGTTTCAATATCTTTTTCCAGGATGATACCTACACAGCAGTATAGAAGAAAACATCTGTAAGACTGCAGTGCAGTTAGCTTACACCAGATCTCCTTGCACCATCAGAAGTAGTTAAAGCTCTCTTAGATGTAATTGATCCTCCAAACTCTAAAGCAGCATTAATAACCAAAGAGACTAAAGTACCATGCTGGTTGTGCAAGGAACCTAACTTTAAGGAAACTCAAAATAGCTTCTGATATTCAGTTTTCAAATTAAGAAAAGTTTTTCCTCTTTGTATTTGCTTTATGCAATATCAAATCTACCAGTATGATCCTTCTTGCAGTGAACGAACCAAAATCTGAAAGAGAGAGTAAAGACTTTAAGGCAGTCACATTTAAAAGGCCTGTAAAGAAGCAGGTAGGTGCATAGCTTCTCAGCCACTGCAACAATTCCTTCATGTCATTTAATTCCCACTTCAAAGACGTAGGTGTGCAAGCAGTGGCATAAACACCGTGATTCCCTTCTGCTCGAACTGCTATTGATGACAGTCTACAATCCCTTCTCTTCATCATACAGTTATTTTTATCACTCTTCTCTTACTTTTCCTAATCTAGTTAGTGAATTCACCAATTTTTGGTCTTAGTATGTCTACAGAAGACAACTGGAGTAATTAAAATGTGAAGGAACATATTTTTCTTAGGAAAATTGTTTCAAATAAGAAATGGACTTCACTTTTTCAAGTCCCATCAATAATATTCTCTTAAGAATCTATTTATGCAGAAGTTCTTAATACCTAAAAATTCACCTCTACAACTGAAAATGGTTCTGAATGCTGACTTTCATATTTCATGAAAGTGATAACCCCTTTGGGTTAGTTGAGAGTCAAACACTGAATGATTACCAAGTAAGGGAGAGCACAACCAGGCACAAGGATGAACTGTTGGATTTAAACTGACAGAGATCAAAATTATTGGCAACTGATAAATTTGGAAGGATATTCCATGAAGTTTGTAGGATGCAACTAAAGAAGCACGATGGTGAAAAACATTGATCCCATTTACTAGGTAAGCATTGTTACTACAGTTCCTATTTCAGAATAGGTAAGGTCAAAGTTAATTTGTGATTTTCTTCATATATCTGACATGCTTAAAAGCTACATAAAGGCTTGGATTTCAGGGAAAGTCTTTAAAATGGAAGACTCTGTCCACGTGCTTACAAAAGCAGATTTTTCCAGTTGGTGACTAAACATAAGTGAGATTTTTGAGAAAAACAGTGTTGTATTCTGCATTCTGCAGGGGTTCAGGAAGATGCAGTGAACACCAAGTGGAAAGCGTTTCGCACAGTAAGTTTTGTGAGAAGGCAGGGGTAACTCTTTCCATAATTTTGAGCTTTTTAATTGATAACCAAACTTATGCAAAGCAAAACGTTTCCTTCAAAATTCTTCCAGCATCGACA